GTTCCCATGGTAACGAATATTATAAGTGATTTTCTACTCGAATAAATACGACATTTTGTAAAGGATATTTTTTATATTGTACCGACGTTAAACTAATTGAATATCAGGAAAAAAATACATCGTTATTTTTCATCTATTAGTAAAGTATTGAGCATGTACAAAATAGTTAATGGAATTAGTTTTCTTACATTATTGTGTGGTGATCTTGATGCTAGTTTTCCAAGTAAGTGTAATTAGCTTTCGATTTTGTATCTGTTGTTAAATGGCACAGAAAATTAGTTATAAGAGCGAATGTTACATATTTCTTTGTTTCTATGTTATAAACATTTTTTGTAAAAAGTAGCGGTTTCCTTTGTCATATTTTTGTAAGGCCTTGTAACTGCAGATTTAAATACAACAAATATTCTTGAGTGCATATACAAATTATTACGTTGTTGTATATTTTTGATTAGGAATATGCTGGTAAATTACATAGAGAATTTAGAATGATAATGATATGTCTTCCTCTATTACAAAAAAACTTAGGTTGTAGATACATTATGTTATTTTCAGTTAGTCAATTGATTGCTAGATATGTGCACAATTGTGATCATTTACAGAACAATTATGCCTACTTGCGAAGCATGTGCATTAATTTGCAGTTCAATGGAATCGTCATGAAAAACAATATAATCTGCGTCAAAAACAATCATTTATATAGTTACATTTCTAAAATAATAATGTAAGATGTTATATAAAAAGATTACAATAGACAAACATTGATGTAACATGTATGTTACATGACATATTAAATTCATGTGCTGTTTTGACAAATGACGTAGCTATTTTGAATACCTGTATACGATCAGTAAATTGCTCATGACTCAGTAATTTATAACATTAAAACAAAGCATGTTTTACTATAACTTTTTTGAAAATGATTTACACGAGTGGGATGAACTTATAAAATATCTAACATATCAGTACTGTTCATCACTGACATAATGAGATCACATCTTATCGTCATATCTTATCGTCATATCACATCTCGATGGTATAATGGTGATATAATAAAGAAACGCGCGGGTTGAATACCCGTTCATAATGAACATTTTAGATAAAATATTGCGATAATAATATTTTTCTAAATCATTTACATTAGACAGAAGCTGCGATCTGCCAAGAAAATCGCCGGGATTTGATTGAACCGGTTATCTTAATGGTTTCAAATTTGTGAATAGTTTCAGATTTGTAGTGGATATAAGACTTGAAGAACTATATCCTGTAAACTGTGTCATCTATTTGTTATAGAGGATGCGTTATGGTTTAATAATCTTTATTGAAAACCATTAAATCTGTTATTAGTAAACCGAGACATGGAAACTTAAACGTGAATGGATGAGTTGGATTTATATGATACACATAGAGACTAAGTAACACAGGGATAACCCTAAGTTAGTGTATACAAGATTTCCGAAACATCCCCAAAATATGAATACAAATAAAAGAATCACCAGAACAATATCATGTTCTTTTTCTCACCGTGTCTTATTAGCATAAAACCCAGAAACGCTTAGTCTCTGTTTATACAAAGTAAAATTGATACCCTCTTATTAGACGGAGGTTGAGAGGCAATAAATTTTGTTCAAGTGGACCCGCTGAAGGATTCTTTTTAGTTCATGAAGTGTTTTTTAGATATAAAACTCGTCAATTAAACTTTCTGTCACCGCCATGTCAATTTGTAATCATTTAAAATGTTAAAGAGGACTTCTATGATGCTAATTTTAGTTTGGTTCCCTGATTTCAGCGCTGTTTGGTAAAATAGATAACGAGTCTGATTCCCTGCTCTCATAGACGCTAGAAAACGCAGAGGTTCATGGGCAAAATTATAATTCGAAACTAAATACATGTAATAAGAAACTTTTATAGCATATTGTAAAATTTGTATCTTATTGAAATTTTATAGCATAATTTATATGGTAAATTGTTGACTGGGTAGCAAGTGTATTCAGTCTGTAATACGATAAGTGAATATATTTTCCTAAACCTTACTTGACATCAGCTTTGATGGCGGGCAAAGTATCGTCTGCATCTATTATCAATGTTTTAAATGCAGGTGCATAAATTTTACAGGGTTCTTCTGGAGGTTAAATTGTATACTTAAGAAATTTATAAAATATCATGCGCTCACGTTTTTATGTTAATCTTACAGTAGTATACTGAGTTTTAAAATGCGCGTTTTCTATATTTAACTTAACTAAACCTTTTAGTGTCAGTTCAAGCAACTCTTGGATTTAACCTCTCTGTGGAATAATCAAGATTTGATTGAAGGGCACCTTCAATTATGAACAAATGAGAATAAATTCATGAATGATGTAAGACACTTTGAAGTTGTGTTTTATTGCTCTTTTTATGAAATAATGTGGAATATTTATGAGAAATAACGATACCAGAATATAATTAAGCGGAATTTCTTTAAAAAAAGTGATTTTTGCCAGCTTTACAACTTCGTATGGCGTCATTAAATTTTGTCGTCTGCAATAAGCATTGTTTTTAACATTTATGCAAATAGTTGGACGTCACCTGTCTGCTTAGAAATTATTGCCTGTCTTGGCGACTTCTCTCAACTATCAATTTAGAATGTTTCTCCATTGCATTTCAGCAATTCTCCGCTTGTGACGTCATTATGTCTAACTGTATTAACAGTTGAATATTTTTTTTAATGTCCGGGAAATCGCTTCTATAAACTGTCAAAACTCTGTCTATTGTGGCAGTATTAAACGTCAAGTGGCCTTCATTTGGGTTGACTAACGCACAAATTTGAAAGTATATACATATAAACAAACAGACGTGATAGACGTTTTAAAATATGTTTAATGTTGCAGGAGTTGAAATACGGTAACCATGATCTTCATAGATATGTAAATAATGAAGTCTCAGTGTTGCTGAACTGGACACTAAAAATGCTTTCATTTCAGATTTGAAAAGTCAGGGGGGATTACTCACATGAAAAAGTGCAGTCTATTGTGTGGATTTAACTCAATACAGGATTGGAGCAGTACCTCTAGACGCTTGCAGAAATCATGATCACAAAATAGACAAATATCGTTTTTTTCGCCGATTTTTACATTTTTCATTAATTAGTGTACTTAATTCGGTGTGAAAAGATGAATTAGACCTGTTAAAGTTCATTCCGTTGGGTAAAAAGGCAAGATTTTAGCATTTTATCATTCAAGCGCCTTGTCCGGTATATACCGGAATACGGTATTTAGTGTGGTGCTCCAATCCTTTTTTTAGTCTCACTCCTATTATGTGACGGGATTCGAATTCACAAGGTTGGCTTACTTAAAAATCTACGATCTCGGCAAAGGGCGGGTTTTGGGAAATACCTCTTGACTAAATGTCTCGGTAGTTCTATAAAGATGTTGAACTTTACTCCAGCCTCGTTCTGGGAATTTCCAGCAATATAAATTTCCAGAAGATTGATCTTGGTGTTTTGCGTTTTAATTGTGTAGAGAAAATCTTTCAATTATTCAAGCTATTAAATTTCTATTACAAAAATTCATTGCTTTTACAACGTAATTTGCAAGTTTATGCAGAAATCGATTCATTCTCCTGGTAGTGTATAAATTATTAAGCTTCGAAGAACTCCCCGGAGCTATAAAACTTTCTTCTTTGTAAATTCCATTTCTTAAAAACAATTAGATTTTTATATGAAAACTACAAACTTTAGTTTCTTTCCGTAAATCAAGTATATACATTGTAATATTACATGTAAAGTTTCATCACTTTTCACTTTGATTCAAAGAAAAAAAAACCCGCATTACCTATAGAAATAATTGAATGCTGTAGCATATATACTGATTAAATTATGTTTTTGAGGACTTTCAAATGGAAAAACAACAAGGCACTATAGAATTGGACGTTTATATTAGCCAGTTGTTCGTAGGAGAAACTAATTATGTGCGTGTATAGAAGTGTTTTTTGTATAACATTGAAATTCCGACTCTTTTGGTACAAGTACACTTCCAATGTATTTTACTCAAATACAGCATTCAGTACATTTATTACATGCTTTTCGGTGGTTTATAGAAATATATCAGTGAAATAAAAATGGTAGTTACATTTTTTTAAACAGTGAAATTATCAATTTGATGATTTCACTGTTTTGAATTTAAGCCCCTTACGTTGTTTCAGTGAAATACCAGCGTACACAGTACTGGGAACCAACTTTATGACGTGACGTCATAAATGACGTCACGTTGTATTATTATTTGGCGCGCTTTTCATTCTGTATTAGGTTTAATGTCTTTTTAAAACGTTTCTTTGCATATAACAAAAAGAAAATTTGTTTAGTTTAATGTAAGATCGAAATATATTTCACCTTGTGAACACCAAAAGTTCATATTTTCACGAGTGGCGCAATATACCTTTTGGTGCTCACTCGGTGAAATATATTCCGATCTTACACTGAACTAAACAAATATCCTCTATATATTTAGTAAATACAGGTAAAAAATCTCTGTTACGTATTTAAATCAATAAAAGAAACTCTTACTGCTTTATTGTCAAAAATTGAAAATAATAGTTCGCTAGTACATAATTTGGAAGGTATTTTTTAACCAAAATATGTTCAGTTGACAATAAATGACCGATAAAACACGTGTTTTCAAAAGACTGCATATCTTATTTTAATAATATAATAATTTCCCTCCCTCCAAAACTTTAACATTTGTTTAAACGTTTTTCTTTCATTTAATCATCTCCCATTTATTTCGCTTGAAATCAGCCAGCATGTCTGTGAAGATATTTATATGTTTTGTGATCAGGTATCATGTTAGCCCTGCATGAAACATGCTGCACTGTTTGTTACATTTTGAAACATGCCTATTTAATACACAATTTATAGCCGTCAACGAAACAGGGAGCCTAGTGGTTAACGTTTCGTATTACATGTAATAAAAAAAGTTACATTACATTATATCATTTATTTTTACCATTTTTTATTTTTCCCTTTTCAGGACAAATTTATTCATGATGTAAGCGAGTTTCGGACGAAGAACTTGTTCCGACAGTGAATAAGGAGAAGAAAAAAAACATACATCAACAGTACAACTTAACTTAATATTTGGAGAAAATCGAGGGGAAAAACAGACTTTACACCTTTTGCAGAATAAAGACGGCCAATAACTTTACAGCTTCGTGAAAAACAAAGTGTAATGTGTTACAAATAAATACTCTTAAGTGTCAACAGATTTGGTTAAGAAAACCGCTGGCGTGTGAAAAAAAATGGTGTGAATAGCTACAAAGCGAAAGAACATCGTTGTATCTAGCCATCACCCAAGAAGGACAAGATTTTTATCTTAAGGGGTTAAAATTGACACAAAAACTGTCCTGAAAAGTTGTTCAAAAACCGCAGAGAAAATCACTATAACTGATCTAAATTGTATCATTTAAGAATAACATTTTCTCGATCCCAGAACCAGATTTGAAAACGGGCGAAGATATTCTTTTGTTCACCTTCACTCCGCCCATTTGCCGACATTGTGAATTTTAATTTACAATTTCAATTGAGCGCTCTGTGTACGCGAGACGCTCGATGTTTAAATGAGCTTAAAAGGTGTTTAAATTGACTCTCTTTTGTTGGCGTTAATTTCGGGCTTCACATCTGTGCACTTTTTGGTGAAAGAAAAGTTAAAGCTCGGACGCTGGTTAGGCTGTTTCTAATTTCACGGAGTCTGAATTTGTGTAACCTTTCCTGAGGTAAAGGCCTGTCTTTTTGCTGTTCGGCTGCTGCATTTGATTTAATCCAGAACGGGCGCAAGTCTGGTGTTAATCAAACAATATCAAAATTTAGTTTACTTTCTTGCAGAAATTGATACATTATCCGCACAGTGTGAAAGATTAGTACCTAACTAATTAGCGGCGACATCAAAGGAGCGGGAAGATTAATCAAGGATAATTAGTACGTTCAGATCAAAGGGCGTCGAGATAAACATATAAAAATAGGTAGGAGACGGCGAAACATTTTCATACATGTAGGAGTGAAACAGTTAATCATTTGGACAAAAAATCGGCTTAAAAACAAAATCGGATTATCTACTTTCGATTTCTAATAAAAGTGAACAAGCTTAGTGACCGGTAGCTTATTTATCTTTATATATTAAGATCGGATTGGCAAAGTGCGTAAATATGAAATTCTAAACTAAGATTGGAATTAAAAATTTGACGAATAAATATATTAAACTTCTTTGGAATGAATACCAACTTGCAATAACTTTAAACTAGGACACGCTCATTTTTTATTTTTTTAGAATGAAAACAGAAAAATTACCCGGTGACAGTAATATATAATATATTGACTTTCAATCAAACCGCAGTGACTTACTGACAGTGATGGAATATTAACAAATCGTAAAAAACAGTGTGATGATAAAATAATAAAAAATATATGACAGAATCAGTGTCGTGGAACGCTCTTTACATTTTATTGATAAACCATCTACCCGGATTTTAAAGCGACGTGCGGGAATTCTAATTAAGACAAGTTGGCATTAAAATAAACTGTTAAAAACAAGTGGCAAGTTTGATTTGATGGGAAATCAGCTAGTGACTCTGGAACATACTGTATATAAAGTGGGAACGGATATTTCTCGAAATCAAAAACAAAATTTGTCAGTTGTTTAATCAGACGACAGTGGAGAGAGGTTTTGTGTATAGAAAGATCTGTATAGCATCTTGTTCACGGTGGATGCACCTTAATGACATTGGGTCTATCTCTTGTATAACTTGATACAAAAAATATTTACGGCCGCAATATTGGATTACTTCGCTGATATTATGCGAAAAACTTTAGATCGTTTGATAGTATAGTGACTGCGGTTAAAGCGGAGTTAAAAAGATACTTTTTGTGAACGGTGTTACACGTTTTGGATGTGAAAAGATCACGTTAAATTCTAATGGACATTTGTGTGAAGTCATCTGGTATTTAACGTGATTCTTTTGTTTTATTTGGAATACGGAATGTAGGGAGCTTTTTTGATGAAACGATAAATCCGTATCTTTTTTGGTGAAGATTTATCTGATTCATTGACTCCTGTTTTAACGAAATAACGAGGAATTAACAGTAAATGTAGGACTTTTGAAACAGCTAGTTCACCATTTAAATAAAACTCGATATATATAAAGGGATATCTATTGACAAGAGGAAAAAGGATTTTTATGATATATTATAGTCGTTAAAGGAATTTTTAAACATAGTTAATACTCGGACATATCTTTGTATCCAATATCAAATGCCATTAGTCGCCACGGAGCGTCATTACGGGTAGTTTAGCTATATCAGAAAAAGCCTGTTTTTACATTTAGTAAAATAAACATACGGAATTATCAAAGGAAGATTCGCTTAAATCCTAATTTATTTGGACAAGAGATCATCCTCATGTGACACCTTAATCCTAGGTTATACTCGGGAACTACTTTCTTCGCGGAGGTACAACCGCCGATGAACCGGGTAATGGACTAACCAGTGAATTTTTATGCAAGCCAGCCAAGTTATTTACAGATTTCTAATGTTTGTTCATTTTTGTGGTTCCCTTTCGTAACTGGGTTGTAGAAGACTAAAATTTACGCAACTGAGTGACTTTTACTGTGTGGATTTTAACGTTTTAAAACGCAGAATCGATTTTCCGTGACACGGATTATTGCAACGTCTCAAGCAACAGACATTTATGACTCTAGAAATTTAAAACAAAATAGTGTGAAGTAAAGAGGAAAAAAGGAATTGAGTTGTATTAAAAAATTTGTATTATTTTATACTTGGACAGTTTGTCGATACTGGAATTCCGTTTAAAGTGGTTGCGAATTGTTAATACGCGGACAAGTTTGAATATTGGATATATAGAACGATATAGCAGACGAGAAAAAAGGCGTTAAATATTGATGCAGAAAAGGCAGACGAGATTAGATTAATTGATCACACTTTTTTTCAGTATTGAGAAAATATTCTAAAAGAGAACATTAAACATATTATTGCTGCGTTTCAAGAGGATCAAAATTTCGTAGAGAAAAGCAAATATATATATAAAAAATTGTTCAAACATGGAAAACGGATTTAAAAGACAGAAAGTTTTGCTCGCGGTGTTTTTTATGATTCTATTGACTATGCCAGTAGAATCACTTAATGGAAACTGCGTTCTTAAAGGAAGAATTTATACCGGACTAGAATGGTATGGGTACCTGCTTCGAAAAACTTTTCAGCATAATATTTCTAGAATACAGTACACAATTTCGTATCCCTTGGCAGATTGTTGTGCCAAAATGCTTATATATTATGACGACCAGATGAGAGATCTGTCTCAGGATATGACGTGCCAACAAAGGGAGAGAATTCTTCCAAACGTTAGTAATCAAGTTATCCCCCTTAATGCCGATAACGGAACTCTCGGCTGCTCAGTTTGGCGCGAAACCGGAAAAGAACCTATGGTCGTCTGCATCGGGGAAAGAACTTTAAAATCTAGTGCTCCGAGAACTTGGTTTGTTGCTTTGAGTAGGTGCGGGTCAACTAATCAAATAACTCTGAACTATCAGTTTAATATAACCGGATATTACGGCAACTGTGAAGACGATCCTTTAGCGAATACATACATTCCCCCTAAAGAGGTAGAAGAAGTCAATTCAAACTTGCATATAGCGATTGCTTTAGGTGTAATAGCAGGAATAGCTGTTATTGTGGCTGTCGTATTCATTGTGTTATACATCTTCAGCAGACAGCAAATGAAACAAAAACCGAAAACCAGCGGATCTGTGACGTCATCACAAGCGACAATGACGCAAGATATTTTCTACGTAAACCCATCACTGTCCGATAGGGAGCATTCTGATTCCCAGTACAGTCGATCAAGCTCGGAAAACTATTATGAGGTCATCCCGGACAGGAGAAGTTACGAAAGTATTAACACACAATTAGCCCTCCACGGGCATGGGGGCCGTACTTTAAATCTTGCTTCGATTCCTCGAGAACATAGAGCTAGAATACCATCTTACATATTTGAAGACATACCACCCCCACCTTACCAGCCACCAAATTTACAGGGTCAAGGTCATCACCACCATGCGCATGCGCATCAGCTATCAAACTCTTCTGGACATCAATCTCAAGGGTCAGGATCAGGCCATCCTCTGCTAGGAAACTCCAGTCCTTACGCACCCGGTCTTCAACAACACATTCCGCTGACAACGCGCTTACTTCCAATAAGTTCCGGAAACGGCTCAATTAGTGGACCCGTAACAATGGCAACTACCACTCGAATGCCATTACAGAGTAGTTCTAATGGACTTATGACCAGTGGAAACTCACTACAAGGTCCAAATCATTCTTCAGCTGGAAACTTTCATTCCTCTTCTGGTACTAGTGCAGGTGCGCAAGAAAAACAAAATGGCGGAATTACGACATCAGCCGGAGGACTAAATTCTCATAGTGCTAACACTTTACCGAGGACACAAACAAATGACGATGCCATTCCGTTACAAAATGGCGGACCAATTCAAAATAGTGGAGCTAACCATGGAACAATGGGACGATATCCGCTCCACAACACAAATCATGCGAAACTGTTAAATCATGCATATAGAATACAACAGTTTGAAACAACGGCGTAATGAGCGCCTTAGTGACCATGATCAGATCTGACTGACTGAAAGGAATGCAAGTTATTAATGCATTTAATATTTAATGAGAGTGTTCATTTAAAATGAATGTTTGTTGTTACGTTTGTTTATCATTTAAATATATGTTGAATTTCCATGTTCACTAATCACTATAACAAAACCATTAAGCTATGAAAATAGCATTTCACTTATTTACTCTACTTTTTTAACATACCTGCTATTTCGACAATTGTTTTAAAAATGGTCGCTTACAATATATGAATGGCTGAAATCCTATTAGGAAATTATTATTTTCATATTTTCTCTTTAGATAAAAGTCGTGAAAGTCGTGCAACTAATGGTTATGCATAATTGTTTTGTTATTTTTTCGCTATATTATTCAACATGTTCAACATTCAAGTACTAATCGTATGGATATGAGCAAATTTTTACATTGAATTCAATTTTGACTTTTTCGTAACTACTTTGTGTTTCGTTTGTACTTTTTCGGTTCACTGTTTTACTCGCACCTTTTTTCACAATAGTTCTGTTCTACCAAGAAGTTATTTCGTTATGCATGTAGCATGAACATTTTCATGCAATTTATTTGTTAATATTGATTGTAATTTAAGTTAAGTAATGATAAAATGTAAATTGTGTCTCTTGGTAGAATTTTTGGGTCCATTAGAAATACATGTATATTGTTTGTTTAGAATGTCATGTATATTCCTAATTTTCCAAGGAGACATTAAGATATAACCTATGAAATGGTGCAAAACTTTTTTTCTGCGATGTAAGAAAAGGAAACGCTGAGTAATTTGGTGCGGACAGTAAACTCTTTTTCGAGGGTATGAATATTTTGACAAAGTGTTAATGTTAAGTTATAAATGAATAGGAAATGCATTAATGTAATGGTTTTGATTTTTTCCTGTAATTTAAATGTTGAAAGTTCATGTGAAATATTGATATTTATTGTTTGTACATATTTCAAGTATCGTGTTTGTTATATAGATGTGCTATTGTTTTAAACAAAAGTGTATGCCTGGCGAAACATTCATTTCTTTTAAACTGTTGGCGATAAAAATACTTGTATATCATTTCGTTTATGGAAATGTAAAACATTTTCAAAGATTGTAAGCAAGCAGACACTTGTAGGAGCTGTATGTTTTAATTCTGATTGATAAAAACTGTTTGACACAAATATTATTTTTCATCTTAATATGATGTCATCAAAGACGTCATTTCAGAGATACATTTTTGAGAGCTTGTAGTTTCAATTTGAGAAACAAAATGAGATATGCTTAAAATTAAAAATATTTCAAGCGTTTTTTTATTGTATGCGTATTTTTTCAATGTTTAAGTTTAATAATTTTATATCTAATTCTAAGCCCATCTTGATATTCATGTACAATAAATGCATTTATATATGTTAGAAATTTAGCGCATTTGAACTGCATTTATCTCAATGTATGATTTTTTTTATAGAGTCCTTCGAGTCCTTTGATATTTTAAACACCAACTCCTTTGTGTACTTTGATTTCTTCGTGTGTGAATACGAATTTCTTCAAAAATGTTTTTCTACCATAGTTTTGTTATGAAAATGTTGTATTTTAATAAGATCGTTCAATTAAATGTGCAATTCTAAATTTGTTCAAAATTTTGTGTTCTATATGAATGACCCTAACCCCTCCACATTTTTTCCGCAAAACATAAATTTTACCAAACTTCAGCTGTATTTATCTTACTTAAACACTCGAGTGATTTAAATAATTCAAATTTGTCCCACACTAAAAAAACTTAGCGAAAGTTACTAAAGTTACTTTCATTTGATTGTATAACAATATTTTCAATACGATTGGAAAGTTTGGGAAGAAATCGAAAGTAGGTTCAAGTGTGAAGAGGTTAACGACTGAGATGTTTTTTAGGATTACTTACAAAAGTTAAAGAGCATTGCCTATAAGGCACATCAATATATCGCACTGATATTGTAAAAATCGCATAGTGATTTTTCAGCCTTAATGGAAAATATGTACTCCTATGCCCCTCCGTGCAGCGGTCTTCCATCAGCTAACTGAATAGTTTCCTCATCGCCAGTGATAGGACTCAAACCCCCATGCAGCAAGGGGCGAGTGATATGAACCTAAATATTAAAATACTTGATCAAAGTGACTAAACTACTAAACCATGTGCGGAAGACAATGATTACAAACCCTAATGGAAATTCAAATGTAGAATAATTTGGTTTACTTCTGACGTTTTCCTTATGACTTTATAACTCTCTTAGCAGGTTCAAATCCCTGTTAAGTCAACCGATTTTTAAGTGTCCTATTTTCAGTGATTTTAACACTTTTTTTCTAAAAGAATTAGCCAAGATATACAAAGAAAAAGTATGGTTGTGATACAAATAAAATATATATATATATATACATGTACGTTGATGTAAGTCAGACACTCTAGTCATGTACATGTATGAAACTGTTTTAGCCAAAAATCTAGACGGAAGAAGTTTTAAAAGTTTTTTTATTAGATTTCCTACATACGAACACAGTTTTTAGTTGTTGGAAAAGATATGTAATTTTTGAGACTTTGAAAATGGGAGTTAATTTACGTCAATGCATTTATATCAGATGAAATACTATGTAAAATCAATGATCACTTCATACTTAAAGTCACTTTGTAAATTGTATAACAAAGATAATTTCTACGGAAAGCGTCATATGCCAAAATAATTCCTCTGTGACATGGTGATTGAAATTTGGGGAAAATGAAGAGGGGGGAGGCATTAAAGAATAATAAATAAAAAAAACTGGATGATGAAATTTGTAACATTTGAAAAATAAACTAACCACACAAATACAACAACCGACCTTACTGGATACAGTCTTCGAAAAGAATGTTTAAAGACAGGAAGAATATATTGACAATTTGAAAGTGCACTTAATAAAGCGGATTGCAAAAACACGGAAAGTTAATTATCTCCAACTTTCCGTTTTAATATGATGTAATCTCAACACCACAGTGCAGTCGGAGAAACTTAATGGATAGATGATTTTATTAAATTAAGAGAGCAGACCAAGCTTTAAACAGATTATTTGATTATGAAAGTTCTCATGGAGGTGACATTTGCAATCCAGACAGTTTTATCATCTTATAACAGATAAAAGGAGAGTTTCTGGGGGTAATTTACATTTTCGTCACATGTCCGTAATTCTATCAATAAATCAGCATCGAATTTAATAATCGGAACTCCTCGGCAATTATAAATAATGATCTATTGGAAGTAGTTCTACCGCGTGGTCAACTACAGAGGTAATGTGTAACGAATGTATATACAGTACATGTATTGACATCCAAAGGAAAATACACTATTTCGGTAAAATTATTTTTTTTATATTTGTTTGACAATTACAATCAGTTTAAAATGCCCACTGATGAGCAGTTAATATTGTCAATGTCTGCATATAATAAGTCAACATATGGCAACTTACAAGTGTTTTACTGGCGGAGAAAGACCTCAGGTGCCCATTCGATGATTCGTGACTATTAGACACCGGCATTCCGTAAGCTAGCTCGATTGCTTCCTAACATGAAAGAATCCGAGGTCCTTGACTGAAATCGAACCGCGATGAGAGGCAAGTGATTTTATGTTGGCCACCTTAACCACTCGGCCTTGGAACCATTAAATGTTAAATAACAATGTATAAAATATATAAATAAAACAACAACTAAATCCTAAATCTGTTTGTATAAGTTTTTCTTCTTTCGTTTGCTCACAGCAATAAACAAGATGTCAGATGATTGGCAGACAGAACAACTCTGCGACAATTTATGTTAAATCTCCAGGGCCTTGGTATAACATATTAATCATATTAAGATGGGGCAATGCATGGTACTGAAGAAAAAAAAAATAATTAGCACACTCTAACATTTTAGTATTAATCATTTTAACATGGTATCATTATATCGGATCTAGAGGCTGTCACTGTATCCGTATTATACCGTACAGAACATGGCACGATATTAATGGAACATCAATATTTAATAAGTATTACCATGAAAAAATGTCTTATCCGTGAAACAGACCTGTTTTAAACGAGTCCATGGATATATAACGCAACAGAACTGATCTGAAATACAAAAACTTTACCTCAAACATTTACAGTTCATAAAAACTCATTTTTTTAAATACAAAAACACTATAATTAAAAACTTGTACTGACAGAAATGTTGACGAACCGTCCAGTTAGCTCAACATGTAGAACGTCTGACTGTTAATCAGACGATCCGGGTTCGATTCTGGTGCAGGTCACTGTCGTTGTGATTGATCATGAAATCCTTGCTAAGGTTATTCGCATGTACAAGTTATTAGTTCCTTGCAAAAGAGAAGACAACCAGTACTGGTTAACTGTTTGACAGCCTGCCTAGGAACGATGAGACGGCCGTACTACAACCACAGAAATGTGGTGCATGTAAGAAGTACATTTTACATTATAAAGTGCAGATCAAACTGCTTTTATTATACTGCAATAAAAAACACCTGTATATCAAATGCTTACTTTTTTTAAACATAGAAAACTGTCGTGTAGCATGAACTTAAATTCTGATCATTGTATCATTTCTTGGGAGCACAGGAAGTAGACGAGTTAAGCTAATGCGTTACGGTCTTACGTTATAGATACACGTATATTTAATTATGAAACATTTAATAGACATATCAAGATTTTGCTGTATGTCAAATTACTGCAAAGATAATATGCACATTAATTGATATGATCTATAAGATGACTGAAATTAAAATCATGTGATCAAATAGAAAAAACACACAATAGGACATAGCCGGAACAGTTAGTGTCCGCAATATAGATCGACACAACTACCAAAAATGCACATTAGACTTTGTAAGGAAACTAAGGGAGACTAATCCAATACAACTATATACAAGCAGGCTATATTGCTGATTTGTTAACTCCCCTTATCATAGAAGATATTTTTCTTTATAATTCGAAATACGTTAAATCCTGATTATTGTGTAATTATGATCTCATTTAAATGTATGAATCGTTCAAACAAGTTTAAACGAAATTTATTTTGTGACTTAAAAATTATATCAGAATTATAGTCAATGTACCACAAAGTCTTCTACTTTTTATATGTTTAATGCCTTGCGAAATATCAGATACTTGCCACTATGATTGGTAAAAAATGAACTATGAATTAGATATACATGTATATTTAAAATTAACATTACAAATACCTAGCTTTATAAAAACTAAACTATAATATTCTATATCTGATCCGTCAGTAAACAATATATATTTCTACCCACGGTAAACAGTCCGTATACACTACATACGGTAAATAGCCTGGGTTACCGAGGATGTTTGACTAACTGCTATTCCATTTCGAATGAAATAATTTCAAAGGAAGCTGGTAGCAAGTAGCAATAAACTATTTAGATGTATTAATGACGATATTAATGACGATCATTTATCAAAGGGGAGTAACTAAGAATAATCATTACACATTATCAGGATTGGTGTCACGGTCATTTTCTCACTAGCACTTTTGTTGTAGTTGAATCACTGAAACTCAAACCAGGGAACAAACTTTGTTTTTACTACTATTATGTAGTTTCAAAATGTAATCATGTATCTATTCTATTTTACTTCTAAATGAGTCACGTGATAACTGTGTTAACGCTGCTCGTAGCAAAACCAGAATCTTTGGTGTCGGTGTTGTTTTGTGATTTAATTACATTTTTGATCCTATCGGAAGAACCATCAGTTATAATCTCTTTACTTCTATATTGACCGTCGGTAACGTATTTGCCTTTGCAGAGAATACATAGTTTGACTCGAAGTAACACCTCCATATATGAAGTTGCAAACCTTTTGTTTGTGAAATAGTAAATTATCCAGTTAATTGATGGATGGAGATGTGCAAAAAGAGTAATTATCAGATGAGATTCGTAAGGGAAGTCGTCGTTTGAGTCTAAGACGATAAGAAGAGCATACGGTGCCCAACAGGTGAAGAAAACAGCGTAAATAATGAAGAGGGTCTTGGCTAATCGGAAGCTTTTCAAATTATTCTTTCTTTCACCTAAAATCTGCTGCTCGCGCATGCGCTTGTTATGAGATGTGACGTAAAGAAATATCTTAAAATAGCAGCATCCGATGATAAACGATGGGATCCACACAAGTGCTATTGAAAACACGATTGTGTAAGGATATGTCGCCATACGGTCCCAAATACACTCAATGCTCTTACGGTCGTAGCCATGATCACCTATTTCAGCGCCATTCAGCGAAACCAAAAGGATGCCAACAAAATAGACAGACATACACATTAATATGCATTTCTTTTTCGTGAATATGTGTTCGTAATGTTTATTTACACATATGTAGATGTAACGATTAAGGCTCATCAGGCCTATCGTCATCAGTGACGTCACACAGGAAATGGTACACATGCTTGCAATGGCTTGACATAGTTTCGGAACGCTTTCGAAAAACTCCTCGCCTTCAACTTTGGCTGAAAATAAAAGAGAACAAAACTAATTATTGATATAAAAGATCAAATTGTGCTAACGTATATTCACTACTAGGTTCCTCCCTTTATATGTTTACTTCTGGAAATTGCAACATCTCTCATGCTTTCTATGCAGTATGCAATTTTCTTGTGATCCCGAAGAAAATACATGCGACGAAGATTTAGAACTACATGTACTTCATAAAGTCCATCGTATGATACCCACGGTTGATTAACATGTAACATGTAATAGAAAGAGCATCGAAACACGAGGCTATCTGATTTGTACGAGGGGGCGTAGCCCCCCGAGTATTAATCAGATTGCCGAGTGTTTTGGTGTTCTTTCTCTTTTGTATTATAGTCAAACATAAAAACACGTTCCCTGTTTCATAATATGAAACCCCAGAAAAAAGGAACCAATGAACGAGCATCTGAATATGATATTTCTGTCGCCTTACCTTTCTCTGCCGTCACAATAAGTAAACCCCAGCAAAAATGAGCCAATCAATGGGCATACTCTCGAGTGCGGGTAACTAATACCTGCACTCCAGTTAAAGCACTGTGCATGTATATGTATATGATTTAACTCCGACACATTTTCAACAGAAGGTCCCCAAACTATGATACAAACATATCATAACAGGTTATCAATAAATGATAAATGTTAATGATTCGGCCGTGGGTATCCGACCATGATAAAGTCACGATATTGCTTTTAGTTTAAAATACAATGTATAGAAGTAAAAGAACTTAGTGTTAAATTTCTATTATTCTCTCTTTTTATCATTACATTGGCACATATTCAATAGTTCAATACAATGTCATTTCACATTACCACATGCAAGCAAATTAATAAATCGGTAAATAGTATCACGTTACAATATTTCAATACAATGTCATGTACGTATCACATGATAATTCCTGACCAATAGTATGCCATTCCCAGTGTACCACATGACAATACCTTACTACATTGCCATTCCCTATGAACCACACGATAGTTCCTGAGCTCCCACTTTTCCACATGACAGTACTTCCCTACGTACCACAATGCCTTAATACAATGTTATACTATATGACAATATGGTACTACCTGTACCACCTGACACTAACTTAGTAAAATGTCATTCCCTATGTACCACACGGTAATATCTCAATAATAATACATTATGTCAGTTGTTTAAATGGTCGATGTTAATTGTAAAGGATATACATGTATAGAGATTTAAACTTTTTTTATTTTTCAGAGCTGTTATAACTTTGGAGGACTTTAAGTTGGGACTTTAGTCACACCAAAGATAGAATTGTGAACTTCGGTTGCCTCGCCTTGTATTATTGCGGGCACAATCAGTCACACCAAAGATGTACTTGTGAACTTGGGTTGCCTCGCCTTGTATTATTGCGGGCACGATCAAGCACTCAAGAAGACCCACCGACCTTTCTTTCGCAAGATTATTGGATAGCTTCATAACAGTTTCAAGAATCCATCCGGCAGCGCTGAATGGCTGGTTATTTGATGCCGGCAAAGTTGACCACTTGGCCACGAGCAAAACAAAAGGGCCACGATGGCCCAGAGTCATTCACCAGAAACAACTGTTTTTCAGTGATGGAAATAATCCATTGTCAATATTTTCTAATATTAAATTTGAGCAGAGAATATGTTTAAACAATAATTTGAAGACATGCCATGACCTGGGACATTTAAGCTTTAGCTTAAACGGGGCCAATCAAATTAATATGAGCAAACTTGATAAAAGACTACATAAGAATGCTACGAAGTTTGGTGATCATCTATCAATTATTTCAGTAGGAAATGATGTTCAAATGTTTTTCTATTTTTAGCTTAAGTGGCCCCTAAAAGGGGCCAATCAAATTAATATGAGCAAACTTGATAAGAGAGTACCTAAGAATGCTACAGACAAAGTTTGGTGATCATCCATCAATAAGTTACGAGTAGATGTTTAAAGGTATTTTTATTTTTAGCTTTAGCGGCCCCTAAAGGGGCCAATCAAATTAATATGAGTAAACTTAATAAAAAAACTACCCAAGAATACTACAGACAAAGTTTGGTTATCATCCATCAATTAGTTCTCTAAAGGTATTTATATTTTTAGCTTTAGTGGCCCCTAATGGGGCTAATCAAATTAATATAAGCAAACTTGATAAAAGACTACCCAAGAATGCTACAGACAAAGTTTGGAGATCATCCACCAATTAGTTCTATAGAAGAAGATGTTTAAAAGTTTTTCTATTTCTAGCTCTTGTGACCCCTAAAAGGGACCAATCAAATTAATATTAGCAAACTTGATAAAAGACTACCCAAGAATGCTACAGACAAAGTTTGGTGATAATCCATCAAATAGTTCTGTTAAACGTATTTCTATTTTTAGCTTTAGCGGCCCCTAAAAGGGACTGTGACTGTCACAAGGATGTTACAGACCAAATTTGAAGTAAATCTGCCCAGCAGTTTTAGATAAGAAGACGATTGTTGACGCATGACGACGGACGCCGAACCATCCCCTTTGATACTAATAGCTAACCGTGAACATTCGTTTGGTGATCATCCATCAATTATTTCTGTAGAAAAAGATGTTCAAAGGATTTCTATACCCCTAAAATGGGTCAATCAAATTGATATGAGCAAAGTAATAGAAAGATCATCGAAACACGAGGCTATCTGATTTGTAAGAGGGGGCGTAGCCCCCGAGTATTAATCAGATTGCCGAGTGTTTTGATGTTCTTTCTCTTTTGTATCATAGTCAAACATAAAAACACGTTCCCTGTTGTCACAATATGATACACCGAGAAAAAGTAACCAATGAACGAGCATCTGAATATGATATTGAATATGATATGATACAACTTGATAAAAGACTACCCAAGAATGCTACTGACAGTTTGGTGATCATCAATTAGTTCTGTAGTAGACGATGTTGAAAGGTTTTTCTATTTTTACCTCTGTTGACCCTAAAAGGGGCCTATTGAAATGGCACGAGCAAATTCAAGTGTGACTGTCACAAGGATGTTACAGACCAAATTTGAAGTAAATCTGCCCAGCAGTTTTAGATAAGAAGACGATTGTTGACGCATGACGACGGACGCCGAACCATCCCCTTTGATACTAATAGCTAACCGTGAACATTCGGTTCTGGTGAGCTAAAAATAATCTTAATGACTTACCTACAATGCTCATTGGCTGTGCAAGTATTGTAACATACAGATCAGATATTGCCAAATTAGCAATAAAAATTGACTCTGCATTCCTTTGTCTGGATTTTGTTGCAATAACCACCAAGGTCAACATATTCCCAAATGTTCCAGCAACACTAGCAATTAGCAATATGATTATACACGGTATAGCTAGCCAAGGTTCTGTTATGATAAACTGATGTCGCTCGTAGAAAAGTTCATTGTTCACAGTCTCAGATGATAATGTCATATTATGTGTATCATTAAATTCGGTCATAGAAATTTCTATAAAATTCGTCATTCTTACCAACCAAATGAAAAACGAGACTTAATTGCCTTCCGTATTTATTATATTTAAATAATTTTTTTTTAAAAGTAATAATTTGATATAAAAATGTCCTTTAGTTGTTTGATGACCAATGTAGTTATCTAGGGTCATCAATGATAACTGAGATCTTTTCGTCGGATTTGTATATTTATTACAATTCACTTCGGCAAACGGAAATATGCTTGTCTACGTGAAATATCAACAACAACAATATAGAGTGTAAAGTCAACAAAATATGGTTTAAATAAGTCAGTTAATATGAAAAGTCGGTAATTAGAGATGTTCCGATAACATAATTATGATAAGATAAAAATCAACTTAAATAAGGTTAATGACCCATCTGAAGGTCCTTAAGAAGTGTCTGTCAAAACTTTATGTATACTAGCAAGAGAATGGTTTGAAAGTCTTCATTATTTACGTGTTTGTTTCTGAATAATGAATTAATCAAAACTTGTTAGGGACAGATTCTGAATTCATATGATGATATGTGTGTAGCCTGAGACAATTTATTCTGTAGTTTGCGATTAAACGCTAAAATTACCTCTTGTAATTTACAATGAACTTAGAAACTTACTAACAGACACCAGGCGGTTATCCTACCTGGGTTCCAATTAGACTGGTCGATAGTAAAGGCTGGAGTACCCCAAGGCTCCATCCTTGGGCCGCTACTATTTCTTGTTTTCATCAATGACATCGTGATAGATATAGGCTCTAAAATTAATCTTTTTGCTGACGATACCAGTTTACATATTATTGGTGACTACCCTGCTTCTGCTGCTGAAACACTTCAATCTGACATAGACAAGATATCAGATTGGGCTGAAAAATGGCTTGTTACTTTCAATCCATCGAAGTCTGAATCTATGGTTATCTCTCGTAAAAGAAATAAACCCTTTCATCATTCACTTCTTATGCATAACCAACAAATAACAATCGTCAACAGTCACAAACATCTTGGCCTCCACCTTTCAGACGATTGCTCGTGGCATTGTCACATTAACTATATTACCGAACGAGCCTGGAAGAGGATACACATTATGAGGAAATTGAAGTTTCAGCTTGACCGTAGATCTCTTGAAGTGATATACTAGTATCTAACTTTCATCCGACCGATTTTGGAATACGCCGATGTTGTCTATCTAAACTGCACACAATATGAGAAACTTGAGCTTGACAAACTTCAAAATGAAGCGTCGCGTATTGTGTGTGGTGCTACAAAACTTGTATCATTAGTTCAACTCTATAGTGAAGTTCCTCGGGAATCCTTAGAATCTCGAAGAAACAATCATATGCTTATCTTACTTTATAAAATGAAAAATGGCTTAACACCAGATTACTTGTGTTCTTTACTTCCACCTACTGTAGGTGAAAATTCAAGGTACGATCTACGAAATGCTACAAATATTCAGACTATTCGAACACGAACAACTCTATCAAAATGCTTTTCTTCCAACTGCTCTAACTAAATGGAACGCCCTTCCAGAAGTACAAAATTTACGTTCACTGTCCTTTTTCAAATCCCATTTGAGACGAAGCAGCTCTAGTTTATTTCTATGAAGGCGATAGAAAATGGCAGATCTATCATGCTCTACTTCGTACTGAATGTAGTTCTCTTTAATTTTATATAACAAACTGATGCAGTCTTGTATTCTCATTCCTTTATATATATATAATATATATATATATATATATATATATATATATATATATATATATATATATATATATATATATATATATATATATATATATATTATATATTTTTTGTTTTATATTATAACTAAATGTTAGAAACAATTTTGACTTTAACTTCTTAAAAACAATGTAAAATCAGATATATTTCAATCAAGTCACATATACTGTCATACCATATCTTATGCACTGTAAATCTATAATTCGGACCCAATCCTTTTTCAACATACTATGTTTGTATTGTGTACATTATTGTCTGTATATATGATTGTGAATTTGTTCGAAATAAACTATGTTTAAACTAAAACTAAACAGATGTCAGCAAATCACATAATAGCGTGATTTGCATTATCAAATCCCCGCAAAAAATAGTGTGATTTCTCGATAGCATGAAAAGGGTGAAATGGGCCTGCTGATGAGTAATAATATCAAGTGCAACATGTATCATGCCCACAGCACCGGCTGATGCATTATTCAATCTTCAACATGATATATATCACGCCTACCAGCACCGACTGATGCAGTATTCAATCTGCAACATGATATATATCACGCCTACCAGCACCGGCTGATGCAGTATTCAATCTGCAACATGATATATATCACGCCTACCAGCACCGGCTGATGCATTATTCAATCTTCAACTTGATATATATCACGCCTACCAGCACCGACTGATGCAGTATTCAATCTTCAACATGATATATATCACGCCTACCAGCACCGACTGATGCAGTATTCAATTTTCAACATGATATATATCACGCCTACCAGCACCGACTGATGCAGTATTCAATCTTCAACATGATATATATCACGCCTACCAGCACCGACTTATGCAGTATTCAATCTTCAACATGATATATATCACGACTACCAGCACCGACTTATGCAGTATTCAACTTTCAACATGATATATATCACACCTACCAGCACAGACTGATGCAGTATTCAATCTTCAACATGATATATATCACACCTACCAGCACCGACTTATGCAGTATTTAATTTACAACATGATATATGTCACGCCTACTAGCACCGACTGATGCAGTAATCAATCTTCAATATGATATATATCACGCCTACCAGAACCGACTTATGCAGTATTCAACTTTAAACATGATATATATCACACCTACCAGCACCGACTGATGCAGTATTCAATTTTCAACATTATATATCACGACTACCAGCATCGACTGATGCAGTATTCAATTTTCAACATGATATATATCACGCCTACCAGCACTGACTGATGCAGTATTCAATTTTCAACATGATATATATCACGCCTACTAGCACCGACTGATGCAGTATTCAATTTTCAACATGATATATGTCACGCACCCAGCAACGGCTTATGCAGTATTCAATTTTCAATACGATATCAATCACGCCCACAGCACCCGCTTATACAGTATTCAATCTTCAACACGATATCAATAACGCCGCTAGCACCGGCTTATTTAGTATTCAATCTTTAACATGATATATGTCACGCACCCAGCACCGGCTTATACAGTATTCAATATTCAAAATGATATAGGTCACGCCCCTAGCACCGGTTTATACAGTATTCAACATGATACAAATGTATAGGTCACGCCCCTAGCACCGGCTTATACAGTATTCCATCTCCAACATGATACGCATTGGGATCAATGTTTCGGACGCAACAGAAAAATATATCAACCAAGTATTAAGGGGGTAGGGGACATATTCAATCTGTGGCCCGGTCAAATTTATTGATAATACATACATGGTGTTTTGAGATCCTGAAAACTTTTGATATTTCTTTGTCATTATAATTTTTGCTTGTTTGCATAAAGGAAATTATCAGTAGTGTGCGTATTAAGCTAATCTAAACATTTTGGTAGCTTTGTATGTATTTGTGACTCTCCGAATGGAGGTTAAAAAGTTGAAAATCAAGCATTGACAATTTGACAGTTGGCGCCAAACAAGTGAGAAACTTTGGATAAATTTTGTGAAAAATCTAAACGTATGACTGACAGTAACTTGAACGTTTTTGAAAGTGCCATTGACTGCACTGTGTGTAAGTGACATTTTAAAATGAATCGGCGATTTCTGGAGTATCCTGCACCTTCATGAAGATGGCCCATATTAGTATATTTCAGGTGCGATTTTTGGTGGGTGGGGGCAAATGTACATTGCTGTCAGTCATTATTTTTAGGGGCAATTGATGCACACTATTATTTTCTTCAATGTTTGTCATATATCCTTGAAAAATGCTGGGCACTTTGTTATCTTCCTGTTCAAAAGATTTTGAAATATTTGGAATTTTGCGTCTTGCCACACTGAACTTCAAAATAGCTCATTTTTAAGTCCCCCGCCCTCTAAATACTCTATAAATTCCCTCGCATTGTTTTGATCACAACATGTTATAAACATGGCTTATTTTCCACGCTGAAGCGGGAGGGGGGGGGACATATATGTGACATGGTTATATTGTAAATACAATAAACTTACAATAAGTAATGACATACATGATTTATAAACACGTGTTTTCTTTCCAGCTTTAATAGATTAGAAACATAAATGATAATGTTTAAAAAAGTTGTCCGATTTTAAGACACAAATACAAAACATAACAAAAGTTTACTATCTAGGTTGAAAAAATATTAACAATTTAAGTTAAACTTGCATCAGGTCTAGAGAAAAAAAAACATTTCATCAGTGAAAGAATAGTTTTACTCATTCCATATTTTTCTTACATTAGAAGTACAGTGTAGTAAAACAAAGTTTTGAAATAATAACAAACACAACAAAAAGTAAAAATCATAATTAAAACAGGTAAGTGTCTGTAAGTGTCAAAACAAAAGGAGTAAGTTCAGAAATCTGTCGGACTATCGGTTGTCAATTATCAATAAAACACGGTTATATCTTCAGTATATATTTCTGTACATTTGTGCAATAACAAAAAATAAATATAGAATAAACTTTCAAAATGTTTTGGCAAATCATACCTGCACATAAAAGATCAATACAATATCATTGTATTTTTTACAATACAAAATCACAGATAAGTGAGCGATGAAAGAAGTGAACAAAAATTCAAATTTATGATAATTGTGATGTTATATCTATATTATTGGCGTATAATTAAGTATGAACTTATCAGAAGTTCTAATTCAATAAATATGTAAAGAAATACAAGGATTTTACTATGAACCAGGTAAAATATTAGTATTTTCCTCTCTTTGTACAAAAATTTTGACAATTTTCTCAATGTACCGGTATTATGATTAGACATAACTCAGACAAATTTATCTATACTAGGTCAAGTTGATCTAATATTGTATTTTATGCGTAGTTTAAATTTTTCAATTTATTTTGTTCTCAATAATTTCATTACAGTTTATTTTTACTCTCAATAACAATTGTATATTCTTTATGTACTGCATGCCATTTTAGATTTAAAAAGAATTACTTAACTAAAATTCAATAAAAACGAAATTTGAAAAAGGAAGCGTTTTGTTGACCAGTATAATAAATCCACAGATTTTCAACATAAACTAAGGGAAATATTGAAAAACACTAAATTCGCAACAAAAATCGTTAGTAACCTTTCTTATGCAAAAAAGTTACAAATTTTACAGAATTTATCAAAAATTTTTTAATTTTTGGGAAAAACTGTAAAATGTATGTTTCCTAAAAGGGAAAAAGTGAAAAAAATTTTCTTACGCCCAAACATAAAGCGGTCGGTAGGCCCAAATTAAAAAACTTGAATTTAAATGCAAAAAAAATAATTATGGAAATCAAACACAATACTTCAATGATCATACAATATATTGGACACTTATTGAACATCATAAACTGAGAGTACCTGATAAATTAGGAATCTTTTTTGTATGTTATTCGATACTTTCATGTGCATGATTAAACTTACAGGACAATGAACGTTATTGGTGGACCCGCCATTTTATACAAAAGTTAATAAGTGTAGATAAACTCAATACGTTCATATGTAAAATAAACTGAGATCTAAACGCAGTTCGAGAAAATATGGTTAACAAGAACTTAAATATCTGAGCAATTTAACTGGAAAGTTAAAATTCTAATACATGTATGTACATTTTATTTGAGAACTATCCTTTTCCTTTAATTTTATAATGGCATGATCTATCCTTTACATTGTATTTTAGACTTCAGTTTTATTCAAGACTTCAGTTTGTAATTTTAAAACGACCAATGAAAGTTCTTCTTTTATTCAGATCCTCCCTGTAAATTTTACAGGAAGTCAAACTGATTTTAAACGGCCGTCGGCCCGACAAAAAATTAACTTACACAAGGTTTATCCCCAACTCCTCGTCTCCCTGGTACCATTCCCCTACACCCTTATACCTTTGTTTACATTTAACTTAATTTTCTTCTTCATGTTGGGGGAATGTTCATTGTATGCCGCCCTTCCTTGTACATTTTACCATGCCCATTTTAAGATAAAGTCACTTTAAGATGTTTAGCCATAATAGTTTCACTCATTACACACAGAAGGCATGCATAAAAGTTCAAATATTTCTGATCTAATTGGTGTCCTAAAAATTCAAAAGGAAAACTGGAATCTTACAAAACAAAAACAAAATGAAAGAAAGAAAAAAAGTACTCAAATTGAAATCCCGGTGAACAACCAACATGTATGCAAATATTGTATCATCACTAAATATGAGTTATTTTTATAAAGGCGGTTCTAAGTAGAAATCTTAAAACTTGTTTGATAGAAAACGGTTGGAATGTATTATTTTAAACATGATTGGACATTTGTATTTAAACGACCAAACATCATAAAATAAATTGCCTTTATAGTGTTCCAACGATGAAAACAAATGACAAAGTTTCAAATCTGACCATTTAAAATGTAGCCATTTTATTTAAAGAATAAATAAGTGTACTGTAGAATGTAAAATATTTTGTTTTAACAGGTGGTCGTGTTAACGCTGCTTATAGCAATACCTGAATCTTTAGTTTCCGTGTTATTCTGGTATTTAATTACATTCTTTAGTCGTCTGGAAGTGGGGAAAGAAGATCCATCAGTAATATATTCCTTGCTTCCGTATTGTCCGTCGGTAACGTATTTGCCTTTGCAGAGAATACATAGTTTGACTTGAAGTAACACCTCCATATATGAAGTTGCAAACCTTTTGTTTGTGAAATAGTAAATTATCCAGTTAACTGATGGATGGAGATGTGCAAAAAGAGTAATTATCAGATGAGATTCGTAAGGGAAGTCGTCGTTTGAGTCTAAGACGATTAGAAGAGCATACGGTGCCCAACAGGTGAAGAAAACAGCGTAAATAATGAAGAGGGTCTTAGCCAATCGGAAGCTTTTCATATTATTCTTGTTTTCCCCTAAAATCTGCTGCTCGCGCATGCGCTTGTTATGAGATGTGACGTAAAGAAATATCTTAAAATAGCAGCATCCGATGATAAACGATGGTATCCACACAAGTGCTATTGAAAACACGATTGTGTAAGGATATGTCGCCATACGGTCCCAAATACACTCAATGCTCTTACGGTCGTAGCCATGATCACCTATTTCAGCGCCATTCAGCGAAACCAAAAGGATGCCAACAAAATAGACAGACATACACATTAATATGCATTTCTTTTTCGTGAATATGTGTTCGTAATGTTTATTTACACATATGTAGATGTAACGATTAAGGCTCATCAGGCCTATCGTCATCAGTGACGTCACACAGGAAATGGTACACATGCTTGCAATGGCTTGACATAGTTTTGGAACACTTTCGAAAAACTCCTCGCCTTCAACTTTGGCTGAAAAAAAATGATACGATTAAAAAAATCAAATGTTCCAAGAATTTTTGATATGTTTGTTTAATAAAGATTTGTTAACATCGTTTGAGAAATCATTTTATGACGCGATATTGCTTTTTTGTCAATGTAATATTTGCATGTAGTATTTCATTATACCCGTTTGGTAAAAAAAGTACTGCCTACAAAACTGGTGCAATGCCTATTAATGATATGTCATTCTGTATGTTTCACAAGTCAACGTCTCCGTATGGTCTGTAAATGTTTGTTAAAAAGAAATTTAACGTTCTATGAAATAAGTCTTTGGTGGTGAATGGCAACCGATTAAAAATCCTGTGGAATTAACCAAAAAAATCTTAATGACTTACCTACAATGCTCATTGGCTGTGCAAGTGTTGTAACATACAGATCGGATATTGCCAAATTAGCAATAAAAATTGTCTCAGCATTCCTTTGTCTGGTTTTTGTTGCAATAACCACCAGAGTCAAAATGTTCCCAAATGTTCCAGCAACACTAGCAATTAGCAATATGATTATACACGGTATAGCTAGCCATGGTTCTGTTATGATAAACTGATGTCGCTCATAGAATAGTAAACTGTCTACAGATTTAGCCGATGATGACATGGTATACTTGCAAGTATATTCAGTAACTGAATTATTTACCAAATAATCCATTTTAGTCAGCAATATTCAAATGTAGCACTGGCGCGGAACTTACATGAATTCTTTCATATAAATAGTGTTTCAAATACTTCCTTGTTTTGTTTATGATCAATGAAGTTATATCTTCTGACTACTGACTCGAATTACTTATGTTGCATTTGTTAGTTTATTAAAATCCGGAACTGGAAGAAGGCGTGTTTAAGTGAACAATATAAATTGATAAACAACAACAGTGCACTTTTAACGTGTATATACTTTACTATAAACAAATCATTTAATGTGAAGGTCGGTAATACTAAATTATCCTGGCTGATTGACGGCATGTCGTATTTTTCTGGCTGATTGACGGCATGTCGTATTTTCCTGGCTGATTGACGGCATGTCGTATTTTCCTGGCTGATTGACGGTATGTCGTATTTTCCTGGCTGATTGACGGTATGTCGTATTTTCCTGGCTGATTGACGGCATGTCGTATTTTCCTGTCTGATTGACGGTATGTCGTATTTTCCTGGCTGATTGACGGTATGTCGTATTTTCCTGGCTGATTGACGGTATGTCGTATTTTCCTGGCTGATTGACGGCATGTCGTATTTTCGCTCTTTTGTTTCTCAAGACAAAGTCAACTGTCATATCATTTTCGCATTCATGAGGTGTAAAAGCAAAAAGACGACAAAAATAGACAAGAAAAAGAAACATAACATATGTCGTGTTTTCGCTTTTTACTTTTCGTGTTTTTATATTTTCGCACATTTACGTTTTTGTGTTTTTGCTTTTTTCGTATTATCCATACAATATAGTATTTTTGCTTTTTCGCATTGGTGCATTTTCGGTTTTTAGCATTGTTGCTTTTTTTTACTGTGCAGTATCTTTGACTAGTGTTTTCGCATTTCGTGGTGAAAAAGTGAAAATTCGATATGGCGTTAATCATTCACCATACTAAACAATCATATTTGCAACGGTAAACTAAGTTGAAACTTACTGTCTTACAGTTAATCATATTGCAATTTATAGTTTTACAATACCCTTATGAAGTCAAACCTTATATTTTAAAGTTAATATTCTGCCGTAGTTCATGATAAATTAACTTTCCTACAATAATTTGCGCTAAAAACTAATATTATATACCATATTCACAGTAAAAAAGTGTACCATCCTGAATCACATTGGAATCAAAATAACCTTTTAAACAATTAGACAAACAAAATGTTTGTTAATTTAAAACTGATTGTTTTAAATCACAACAATATTGTGTAAATTTTAAGTGTCATTCATAATACGCCTACAATATGCTGGTATTGCCTGTCCTCAATATGTAGAATTTAAAGATTTTAAAAAGACTGGAGGAGATGACAAAAAATAAATAGTTGAGTTAAAGATATTTAGCATTTAGTGTCCCCTCAAGTTGCAGATAGCGTTCACAGGTATGGTTAGAAGAGGAGACATTTGTTAAATTGTAATTTGTTACATACGAGTTTCATCTATACATATACATACATACATATGTTTAATAAATGTTGCTGTCTACAACAAGTTTAATGTTAAATTATTGATACATACATGTATATATAAATATGTTGCTTTATAAAACAACATGTGACTTCATATGTAAAGGAAGTAAACGTGAAACATATATGAAATGACATATATGAAGTAAAAATATTTGAAATAAGCATTAACCTATTTTCAGATTCTATTTAATGTTCTAAGATAATAACAACATGTTATCTATGTTTCAAACATAGATTGGTTAGTTATTGAAATAATGTTAACGTTATTATTATCATAGTGTACATGACTGCTCTCTTGTGCGTGCTGTAAACAATAGCAAATAAAAGTAAATATTCAGTTATCTATAATCAAGCTCACTTCCCTTTTTGTGAATTAAAGTCACGTGGCGCTAACTACTTGAAACACAATTATCAGTATGTTTGTTGATTGAAGAACAATGTGACAATTTAATATACATCAAAATATAATTACAGATAGTATCATTATTTCAATATTATCATTTCATCAATAAGCGCACATAAGTATTTCATGTCATATATGAATCTAGACAAATAGAACTATATCTAGAATAAAATATTCAATTTCATTATTCATTCTTTCAAATTTCGTATGACAATATTCAATAGTTTTCGATCTTTTGACTATCATGATTCCACAATACGCAAATTGGCCAGTCAGTCAAAATCATTACAAAAACACGGGTATTTTTAAAACCCAATATTAATGAAAATATCTTTTGACAAATATTGGCTGCTATAGATATCCTTAAACGGTATTAGAAAAATACAAGTGATAGTGAAATGTCTAAACATAATCTATACTGATTATATGTATGATAAATCAACTGTCTGTACGTCAAAGCTGTTGAAAATCGAACATCTAAGTTAGTTTGATCATTTCGGTAATAGTAATTCGTTTGTTTTTTTGTTTTTTTTTTAAACGACACTTCCGGTTTCTTTTTCAATATTCCATTGGACCAAATGGTCCATGAGGATAAACAGATACATGATACATGACAAGATAGTGTTAAGCATATACATACAATAACATATGTAAATGGAGAATCAATTAAAATGAACATCGGAACAAAAGGTCATTCAACTTAACCTAATGTCTAGCAAAACTTACAGAGAAGTGAACTTCATACATTGTATTGAATTAATTTGATAAGATACATGTATATGCATCATATAAATTTATATCATATTTGCTTGAGTATGTATATGCTGTTCTTGTCGAATCAAAATACAAGAACAACATAACCATTTGTAGGTAAATTTAGATATAGAACGTGAATCAATTTAAATAATTAAATGAATTTGACAAAACTCGGATGTATAGACCACTTTACAATACGATTCTTCCATAGCAACCAATGTTGCATTTCGCGCATGCGCATTTTGCGTAGGGCAAAAGCTCAATAAAATAGACAACAGTGTATGATACTTTAAGTAACTTTTATATATACCGATCTCATCAATGTTTATTGATTTGTGAAGTGACAATTAGTGTGACTTGCATTAAAAATATTAACATGTGTTACGAGGAACCGGATACAATGAGTGTTATTTCACTTTCCTTAAAGATTAAAAAATAACCATTTAAAATATATTGATGTGACTTAAAAATTATCTCTTTGCATCACAGTCAAATAAAGGATAAAATCAGGTAAACTGAACACTAAAAATGCATTTTCACCGGACCTGTTCTGACTATTTCCAGAATGCTAATTAACCTCGATTTCATGTTATAAAATTTCTTTTATCATTTTTATGAACTATTTCAACAACAATTTAGTTGACTCCAATTTGAATAAAAGGTATAATTCCACATTTTTTTAAAAAAAATGTCAATGTCAGGTCCGTGACCGTAAGCGGGCCCATCGTAAGGGGAAAATCTTGGGAAATGCTACTTCCGGTCGATTTTTCATAGCAACGGACCGCGTCGTAAAAAGGTCTATATACTGTATCATATAAAATTGTATTTATACTTGTTCGAGTACGTGTATGTTGTTCTTGCCGAAACAAAACACAAGAACAACATAACTATTAGTCAGTAAATTTAGCTATAGAGAATGGTTCGATTTAAAGAGGACGCATAATCTTAAGTATCATTTAGCTATACATTTACAAATATATATCCTTGACATATATATCTTCTAAACTAAAGCATTCAATAATTCAAAATTATTAAGCATAATAATTTAACTATGCATAATTATCCATTTCACTTAAAATTTCACTTATTCAAAACAAAATAAATATAATTAACTTAACAATAATGACTACTAATTATTTGTGTATAATTTTTCTTTTCTTAGTGCAAAAGCATTGTTTACAAATTTTCCTAATTTACGTAATGTGCATACATTTTCAGAATTTAATAATTCAATGAATTTTGGCATATTTGGACGTTTCCAGTAATATGGCGGTATCAGACTTTTTCTTAAATTATTACATACATTGCATTCTAATATGAAATGGTATTCGTCTTCTAAGACATTACATGAAAAACATTTTCTATCATTAAAAGGTGTACTATTTGGTTTAGTCCATCTACCTGATTCTATGTGCAATCTATGAGATGATACTCTTAACCTAGTGAGATCTTTACATATATATTTGATTGAAATAAAAGATTGAACTAAAATATTATTTAAACGTATTAAAACATATCTTTTTCAGAGCAATTAAGAATTGGAACTTATGTTTTTGTCTAAGGCGGTATTTAATTAATAGTTATCAAACAAGGTCTAATGTATTATATGTTAAAGGACACATGTAGCGCCGATATATGTCCAAACGTCGAAAAATGTCCAAACGACGATAAATGTCCAAAAATTGACGATAAATGTCTCAATCGCCGATAAATGTCCAAAACTCCTTTAACGATAAATGTCCAAAAATTAACGAAAAATGTCGCAACAAATTAGGTGCTCATAAATGTCCAAATCGGTCAACGATAAATGTCTCAACTTTTCATATGTTAATTGCACTTATTTCTATGATCAACAGTAATGCATCAGCCAGTTATAAAGGTTTCCATAGGGATTAAAAGTACCGATTTAAGTAGCGTTCTCACCAGCATCCCGGGAAAGCCCGGGACCACCCCAGACGATCCGGGATGAAAATATTGTTGCAGTCTCAATAACCACGGTAGCACTACGGCGATACCCAATTTCCATACTAATAACAACCAGGATGAACTCCGGGCCATCCATGCAGAGTCCAGTTCAAACTACGGATAATGCAGATAGTAAGTGGACGACGGATGACCTAACACGATATTCAAACGCTGTTAAGTCTTCGACCAAAGAGATCATAAAAGCTGAGATCCATGCTAGCACAGCCCCGGATGATGTCGGCAGAGTCCCGGATGATCCCGGCAGAGGCCCAGTACGGTCAGATAGAGTGCCGACAATCACCGGTAGAGCCCCGGCAGAGCCCTTGATCATCCCGGACGTTGCCGACAGAGTTACGGACGTACCCCGGTCGTTCCTGGATCACCCGACCGACCACCGGGACTCTAGCGGGATGCTTGTGAGATTGTTAAAAAAGTTTAAAAAATGTATTTGAAAATAGTTTGATTGTTGGATACAGTCTATCTCCCTTACTATTAAAAGGGGGGGGGAATAAGTTAAACCGAGGTGCATTGTACTGGTGCTTTACACCGGGCACTTAAAAGAACCAGGGTCGCCTCTGGAACGGGGCGTCTTCTGTATCATGCACTATCCCCCCGAAAAATAATATACTAACAATCTTCAGGGGACGTTGGTCATATGGGCAACCGGTACCAACGATAAAAAGTCAAATAAAATAAGTTATTATGCCCCCTTCGTATATTGCTTTGCCCATGTCGGTCGGTCGGTCGGTCCGTCGGTCCGTAGACCATGCCATTTCCGCTCAATAACTAGACAATGCTTTGGCTGATGGTCCTCATATTTGGTGTGGAGGTTGGTCATGACTAGTAGATGACCCCTATTGATTTTGGGGTCAGTAGGTCAAAGGTAAAGGTCACAGTGACCTCACCATGAAAAGCTTGTTTTTAGAAGATATTTTGTGTGTAACATTGTCTCATTGACAACTACAGGGTTTACTCAATTCATGGACCCATGGGTCATATTGGTTCTGCCCCATGGTAATGATATACATGTATTCCATAACAAATTTACTATGCATTTTTAATACACATTTAAAAATATAATGTTATAATATTAAATTGGCTGTGTTTAGGTAGGCATACATGTTTTACAAACATATCTTGTTAACATCAGCATTGCGCTACTCTACACTTATAGCTTTATTCAGTGTCGTCACTCGAACTCAACCTCCACTCAAACTCGGGAAAGGCTTCCTTAAGGACGAATTGAGGACGCCTTGGTCAAGGTGAACTCAAGTGTAGAATTGGTATTCATATTTGAAGTCTTCCTCGACTTACCCGAGAAAGGTTTGAATAGCAAATCACCCGTAAAATCACTGTTATAGGTGATCTGTTCAATAAAATATACACTAATTACATAATTCGTACTACTGATGCCCTTTGTTGGTACGAGATTGCAGATATATGGTACAGAAGACTGTAAGAAATGGCATCAGTACATTACCGAAGTTGCAACCAAGACACAACCAAGTGTAAACAAGTTAATATATGTGTAAAAACAGTTTAAAGATGAAAATATTCATTGACAAGTTGTGATAATTTCAAAATAACGTTTGTCGAATGGAGAAGAAATGTTAAAAGTTTTTGTCAACAGATTAAAATAAATATTACACAGTATTCGAATACATGTAGTAACATTATAATTGCTATATGATGGTGTCATTTAAACATTTATATTATTATACCTCAATATATCCTTCAATGTAAAACTCCCATAGGGCTACAATGTGTTCTGATCGAATATCACGCTCCTAGAATATATTTCCCGGGGAATATTTCTTATATCACCTTGGAGCACAAAACTCTTACATAACTCATTCATAAAGCGAAAATGCCTTAGTACCCAGTTAGCATAATATTATTTATTTCCTAGTCTGTCTGTCTGTCTGTCTCTTGTTTTGATCTACATTGTATATACATTATACAATTTTTGTGTATATCGAAAATTTACAGATCAAAATCGCTATAATTGTGAAGTGATGATCTGTATTTTCTTTCAGGCAAAGACTGCTGACCTAAGGGTTTTTTTTTCGGTATAATAAAATAAATAACACATGGCTGTCGGGGTGATAGAGGATATTGCCTTAAAAATGCCTTAGTAACCAGTTAACATAATGCAAAAATACACATACTAATACAATTTAAATAGTTTATAAAAAAATCTTTATTTAGCAAAGAATCCCACGTGGAAAGCGAAAAGTTCTTAGACACTTAGACACTCGGACGGACAATGGCAACGCTATATGGGGCACAAAAATATTGAAGAACACAAACAATGCTAAAACGTATTGCTTCGGTGAGTTAAGAAGGCACATGCCCCCCGCGCCCCATACGGATCTGCAACTGGCCATGCACAATAATGTATGATATATTTTACGTCGGGGGTAAACCAGAGGGTAAAATCAAGGGTTAGTTGGATAGACTGTTACAGTATCCAATACAATAAGTTACAAATTAGCATATGAAAAGTTGAGACATTTATCGTTAACCGATATGGACATTTATGAGCACCTAATTTGTTGCGACATTTTTCGTTAATTTTTGGACATTTATCGTTAAATGAGTTTTGGACATTTATCGGCGATTGAGACATTTATCGTCAATTTTTGGACATTTTTCGTCGTTTGGACATTTTTCGACGTTTGGACATATATCGGCGCTACAACACAAACTGTTTAAGTTTGATTAAATGAATAATTGAGTGAATCACTCTTTGTAAACAGCTGTTCAATAAGTTCCACATGTTGCGATAAAATAATCATATTTTAAATACCACGATATTATCATTAACTTGTGTTCCTATACATGTGTATTGATTAAAACATAAATTGTCGCTCCAAAGGGTGTACTATCACACAAAAGATGATGAGAGTTTATAGGGACTAGATATATAGCGCTGATAGTGCACAAACAGTGGATTACGGTAAAAATATGTGAACAAGACGACAATTTACTACAATGGCAATTTCTAAGGACAAGAAATTTTAGTGAAATGCTAAAGCTACAATATTAACCAAAATACATGCCAATTTTAGTGAGAAATGATTCATAAATATAAAAACGCCGTTGCCGTTTTCATAGGCTTCCAAACTATATTTACATGGTTTTATATATTTACCATTCAGAGGGATATTTCATCGGATAGCGTTAATTTCCATTTTAATATGTCAAATAAAATGGAATATAATGTTCTAGTACCTAAAATGAATAATGTGAAACCAACTAACATTCGTAAGCAGACGACACCGGAAAGTTTAAATTTCAGTCACACGTCTAATGGAGATTGTAATGAGATTGAACTTCCGGTTGAATTATTACAAGTTGATACATGGAGTCCGATTGACAAGGATGGTGCTGTTTACGTTTTTGCTGCGTACATTGTTGAACAAAATGGTAGGGTTGAGGCATTAGGAGCAAGTATCAACCCTGCACCGGAAGTATTTTGTCAGTATTGGCACATTGCAGACGACAATATAACGCTAATCATAAGTGTGCACACAGCTGTCGTTCGCTGGCTTCCTGAGAACCATGGTCGCAAGTAAGAATTGTTGATATCTGCATACATCAAGCAGAACAAAACATTTTAAATAAAACTTAATTTTCATTTGTCAAGTTCATACGAGTACTTTATACAAATGGACTTTGACAACATTTTACCATTTTAAAGATAACGTTTGTGTTTGTCAACATAGGATTATTATGTTATAGTATGATTATGTAATGTGTGAATCTGTCTACATGACATCGTCCAAACTGTCGTTTCTATTTACAGTTATTTTTTTCAGGTATACCGGTGCAATATTTGAATGTCCAGCTTCAGTATTACACGTCCGTTATGTTTCCTTAACAACGAGCAAATGTGACATACCTTTAAACTTACTTCAACTTACAAATGCCATATTGCCAAATAGATATCAGCGCATATTTACGGTTTGCTTAAAACCGTTACATTTTAGTTATAATGAAATCTTTGAATTGATTGAATGGATCGAACTAAACAAGATTCTTGGTGCCGACAAGTTTGTTATCTATGTCTTTTCAATTTCAAATAATACTGCTAAGGTGCTTGATTACTACGTCAAACAAGGTATTGTAGAATTAGTCCGATGGAATTTACCAATGAAAAGTTATACATGGCCAAAAACAAACGACCCGATAGAAATTCATAGTAACGGAATGGTTTTGTCGATCCAAGATTGTCTGATGCGAAATAAAGCACATTCTGAATTCATTGTAAACATTGACGTAGACGAGTTCATTATACCGCGTTCTGAGCACAAGATCACGTGGCACGATATGATGAAACAGCTGTCGTCTGTTTGTGATACTTATATTTTCCGCAATGTTTTCTTTCGAAAAGACTGGAACAGTACATCCGATTCCATTGATTTTCATGGAAACGATCTGGCAAAGAAATACAATCTGGTTACATTACAAAAAATATTGCGTGAAAAACAAATATTTGATGCTAAAATTAGATCTAAGTATTTCACAAAGACTACAAAAACAGACAAAGTGTTAATGGTACATGATGTGCAAGGTGGGAAGACACAAACTGTTCCTGTAACAATTGGAATGCTTCATCATTATAGAAATTGGGAAAATCCAAATAAACCATTGACGCGAATACGTGACGATCTTATAGTAACTAAATATGGAGACAAACTTATAGAAAATATTCAGATAACTTGGAGTAAACAAGGAAATGTAAAATCTGATACCAATATGTGATATGTACTCAATACGTTCTAAGTGAAGTTATTTTACCTTCTGATTCTGACGACATCGAACACATATAGTTATGTAATGTCTTGATTCTTAAGCTTTAACCAGCTAAATTTCTGTAATGATATTAATGGATTGCAGTTCTTTCATAAACCAAAAGAGTTTTCCAGTCAAAGGCTAAGCATTTTTGGTTCCAACATAAGGGTAATATAAATAGATCGGAGTGTTCGCCCAAGAGTTGTGATTGGAGAGGTCATCAGACCTCTCCATAGTGTTCAGACTGATTGCTGGCGGCATCCATTTTTGCGTATCTGATTGCAGTGAATGAATCTCATTTTAAGCGTAAAATCATTAGGAGCAGTCTACAAAAATTGTTTTGCGCATGCCCCGTTTCAAAATACGGCTTAACTTAAACGAAAAATTAACATCCAAGTGAACAAATCGGTACATAGAAAAATCGGAAAATATCATTTACATTACTTAACACTACGTGGATGCTTCATTCCGTTTAAAAATCTTTTAAACTGTATAAATCGATTACCGTATTGTTTTTTTTAATAACGTTTTACTATTTCATGTTCTGATAAATAGTTACAATGAACATTATAGCTACAATATCACCATGCACTATATACACCGCCTCCGTGGTCGAGGGGTTAGAGTCGATTACTTTTAATCCTGTTAAAATCTCTGGCGTGGGTTCGATCCCCGGGCGATGTTTTTTTGTTAGTTTAGCGCGGAGGAAGGTTGTCTAGTACTGATGTAACTCTCCAGGAACGATGGTTAGGAAACTACCCGCCTATATGACTAAAATACTGTTGGGAAAAGGTGTACAATGAAACAAACAACAAAGAAACATATTATACGACCGAGTGAACCTGTATTGAACCGGTATGTCTAAATAACGCAATTTTTTGGGGGATTTTTTGGCGCAAATGGCACAAATTTTACCTCAAGTTTGATTTTCTTCTAATATTGTGGTTGGAGGCATGCAGCTTTATATACTGTTTATTCCAATAAACAGTATATAACAGTATAACAGTATATAACAGTATATACTGTTATTCCAATCAAATGATATCAACATTTTTTATGTAAAATTGTTTGATTAACATACTTTATACCCGTTTTGGAAAATGTAGAGGAAATGCTTCCTTATATTTAACAAAACAGTGACCGAAAATTTGCTTATTGAACTTTACAAGAAACTTTTATTTTGAAAATACTTTTAATATATATACATGTATATATACTTTTTCTACAAAGGGAACTGAATTTAAAATACAAATGTAAATGATGTATATCATTTAATTTACATTAAGTAATTTTACAATTTTTTTGTAGAAAAAATATCCCTAATGCGCCAAGAAAAAAGTCCATTTCTCCGGCATATAATCTTTTAAAACATTAAAAAAGATGAAATGTAAAACAAACTTTCATTGCAATATATATAATAAATTCTATTTTGTTTAATAATTGTAATTTATAACCATTCATTGTGTTTTTTATGCCATATAATATCTCCAAATATTTTCGAATTAAACAAATCTTCCACAGCAGCAAAAATACCTCTCGCATGCTTCTTTTAAAAGAAGCAAACTTGTTTTAACTGTGGCGTAAGTCGATATATATCTTATCGAGGGTGAACACGTGAGATGTGATATTTATTTATTTGTAATACTGCACGTTTGTAATGTCGCTTTTCATTGGGTAATCGCGACGTTTAAATACATGTAGTTTTATATACACGACTGCTGCAAATTTATGAAGAAAACTCACCTTTTTTCTCTAAAAAAAAAGATGCTAGCAGTATTATTAATTCGTTATAAATATTCCTGACAGGCTATATGGCCGTATAATTTGTTTGGAAATATAACCCGAGCCTTTTTATAACTTATATTCTTCTAAATAAAAATCCAACACACAGTTTGCATTTTAATGTTAGTGGGCTGTCATGTGACATTAACCCTATGACGTCACAAAAGGTTATATAGTTAATTAATCACGTGAGGTATAATTGCATAGTGAATTAAACTCTGGTTTATATGCAGTCACAGTATGATAAAAACGTGCAGCTTGACCAGAACTCAAACCTGTGACCTACAGAATAATGTACCGCGGATGTAGCGATTGAGCTATCTGGCCGCTTACACATTTTCTCCTAATAATAGTGAACAGTTCTAAACCGTGAAAGTTTTAGATATTTTCATTAACAGGTAGATTAATTCTTAATTAAAAAACAAATAAGAAAAAGAAAAACTTACATACTCATAGTCTTAATTAAAATAACAATTTTTATATTGTATAATTATTTTTACTAAAAAAGGGCATAGACAGTTATTGGTTGTGCCTTTATTTATTGTAAGGTCAATTTAAAAGTGAACATTACTGTACTAATACATGTACAATATCTCATTTACTAACTATTTGTACAGATAAAAAACTAACCTTTTGTCCAGATAAGAAATTTAATGGAGGCTGATTCGGCCCTGTTGTATTTTGCATCAGGGGGCACCGGGCGAAAACATGAAAATACAACAAACGAACCACTTTCTGGTACAAAATTGATACATCTTAATCTGAGCATCATATTTATGATATAAAACCATAAAAAAATGTGTTACAGGATCTTTAAGATTTATCAATTTTGTAACTTCCAAAAAGCTTTATTTATAAAAAATATTACCGAATTTTACATTTCATGTAAATAAAGGGAGGTAATACAAAGTTTATTTTCTATAAAATCTAAGTCAAATGTTTCAATAAGAAATGAATACATATAAATTATGTTAATGATTACATATAATATGTACAAATATTTGCAGTACATATTTTTTGCTGTTTGAAAATTGTTAAATTGGTGTTGCCCTTGTCAGGGCTAACCTTTCATGTTGTCACAGTTTACTGTACATTTTGGTTTTCATTGACCGCCGTACAGTGACCTACTTTCGGCTCAAAATTCATATTTTTGGCTATTACTCCGTGAAAATCGCATGGAGGTAAATTATCACCACTTTGTGCTTCAAAATTAACTCAATAAGGGCATGACTGGTAACATGTCCGGGGTCCGTACTCGACAGCGAAAGCTGCATTTTGTACCCTTGCGGGCGGATGGACCCTCATTAAGCATTAACTAAATACGGACTCGGCCCGGTGAATTTTCGTACTATTTGTTCTATAGTAAATCAGTCACATTTGAGGCTTAATTCTGGATTCCACTGTTCTTGATGAATTATATACTGTCTTCAACTTTAAACATTAACACTATCTAAGTCCAATGAGGCCCAAAATATAATAGGTTAGCCATCTACTTTTTTCAGAAATCTTCATTCTGTTGTAACACTGTTTAAATTCACCACTTTAAAAACTCTTGACAGCTGGTGGGTAGTACATCTTTAATCCTTCCGCCAACAAATGAGTTCCTGGCGAATACACAAAAAACAACTTTTAAAGTTATCATATAACACACAAAAACTACACACATGCAATAAATACACTTTAATTATGACCAATCTAACTAGAGATGACTAAAATTGGGCCACTTCAAAATTTTAAAGAACTACTTTCTAGACTGCAACGGGTTGGGTCTAATTCCGTACCGGGTTGTGAACACTTGCTAAATTCTTATGAATGATCAAGTTCAAGCAAACCAAACTCTGGAACACAATTTAACATTTGCAATGAAAAACATAAGTTTATACCATAAATGTAACATACAGTCTCCTACCATATGAAAAACATATGTTATTCATGTGTACTCATATGAAAAACATGAAAAACATGTGTCTGCACCTTATGTAAAACATACGGGGTACTTTTCTGGAGAAACGATATGTTTCTACCATATGTAAAACATGTGTGTCACATACGTTTAACATGTGGAACATATTTACCTGTGTATGCATAGCTTTAATTTTCTTCCTTTCATTTTTACAAAATGTTATTCTATTAACAATTTAAATACAAACAAATAGAAAATAATAATTAGTTTCACATAGTGATTAGCAGATTCCTGTAGCAGAATACCTGTAGGTATGTACTAACTGAACAAACTAAATGGTGTATAAAGCCAGTCAAAAAAAAATCTATCAATATTCACTCCTCAGGGCCTCTATGCTTTTGATGAACTTTAATTTCTCATTATTCTATTTATCGACAGAAATATAATAAAAAAACCATTTCATAGCTTGTAAAGCACACTGTCAATAACCATACTATTTATAAATATACAAAGAAAATAGAATGTAATAGCTCAGATTGACAAAAAAGAACAAACAATTTAGTAAACATGAGTTACTTCCCCTTAAAATAGAGAAAACCTAAAACCCGAAAGAACTCCCTAAACAGCAAAATTATAAAATGTTGCAGGCTCAGTTTTATTTAGCCATGGAAGGTAATGGTAAAAAATATTCATAAAAAGGCCACGTGACAGCAGTAAAATTACATTGCAGAAAACCGGATAGCTTTCAACATCCGGATACTGGTACACTTGTAAAAACATCCGGATACTGGTACACATTGTAAAACAATCATTCTGTGCAATAGATAAACATAATATGGATAAAATCAATAGGATAATCGTAAAAAGATTTTTGGTTAGATGTACGCAGTGCTAGTATATGTTTAAATTGGTCAACCCTTTTGCCAAATATTTTATACCATTGTATTGAAGCTGTCTTTACATGTTTGTATTTGTTGTTTGTTTGTTTATTTGTGCTTTTTGGGGTTGTGTTTTCTTTTTTTTGGTAATAAAATATGTGGGGAAAACTACGTGTTTATAGTTTCTAAATGTCCTACGAGGCTGCGTAGATGTTTATATTTGAAGCTATATTTGTTTTTATATTGTTATTTTAATACGTTTTGCACTTATTTTGGTTATGTCTCTACTCTTTTTAAATAGCATCGTTAAGAAAGAAATTCAACCGGATTGAATTCAATAAATGTTATTTCAATTCCGTAAAATACAATACAACACGAGAGAGTTGCTTAAAATCCGCAGACACTCGGATATTTCTATTAAAACAAGAATTTGTATCAGAGTTACCAACGTCCCCCGCCTCGGGGAAGTTTTATATGAAGCGTAAACTTGTGCTGTTTCAAAAGATTGAGGTATGGAGTCCAAAATTATGATCAATGCTAGATCTGCAAATGCAACAATAAATTTATTAAAGAAATAAAAATGAAACACGCAATTTAAAAATCTAATCTATCATGTTAAGCTTTGACCTCTAAGTGTGACCTTGACCTTGGAGGTAGGGATGCAGGTGTTGTGCATGACATATCGTCTTATTATTGTAACTATTTGTGCCAAGTATTTTCAAAATCCCTTGAACTATGAAGAAATTATAGATCTGACACAAAATATACCCTATAACAGACTATGTTAATCTTTGACCTTTAAGTATGACCTTGGAGGTAGGGACCCATGTTTTGCGCCTGACATATCATCTTATTATCGTGATTATTTGTACAAAGTATTTTTAAAATCCCTTGATCTATGAAAAAAGTCTGGACTGGACACAAAATATACACTTTAACAGACTATGTAAATCTTTTACCTCTAAGTGTGACCTTGACCTTGGAGGTAGGGACACAGGTGTTACGCATGACGTATTATCTTATTACTGTGACTATTTGTGCCAAGAATATTCAAAATCCCTTGATCTATGAAGAAGTTATGTACGGGACACAAACTATATATATAATACATATAACAGACTCTCTTAACATTTGACCTCTAAGTGTGACCTTAACCTTGGAGGTAGGGGTGCAGGTGTTGTACTTGACATATCCTCTTATTATTATGACAATTTGTGCCAAGTTATTTCAAAATCAGGAGAAGTTCTAGATCGGACACAAAATATACCCTAAAACAGACTATGTTATATTTTTACCTCTAAGTGTGACCTTAAACTTGGAGGTAGGGATGCAAGGTGTTAAACATGACACATCATCTTATTATAGTGACTATTTGTGGCAAGTATTTACAAAATCCTTTGATCCATTAAAAAGTTATGGACCGGACACAAAATATACCTTATAACAGACTAGGTTAATCTTTGACCTCCAAGTGTAACCTTGATCTTGGAGGTAGGTGACCGATTATTGCGCATGACACGTCGTCTCATTATTGTGAACAATTATGGCAAGTATTTACAAAATTCCTTCAAAGATAAGAGAGTTATGAACCGGACACGACATAAACCCTCAAATAGACAATGTTGACCTTGAATGAGCAAGTGCGACCTTGACCCTGGTGGTAGGGGTCTGGTTGTTGTGCACGACACATCGTCTTATTATAACAAACATTTGTGCCAAGTTATTTCAGATCTTTGATAAATGACAAAGTTATGGTCCGGACACGAAAGTGTGACGGACGGATTGACAGACAGACAGACGGACGGACGGAGGAACAGACGGACGGACGGAGCCTATTTCTATATCCCCCTTTTTTCTTCGAAAAGGCGGGGGACAATAAACTGCAGGAATAAAGACATAGAACAAGCAATGGCAATAATAGCTAGGGATCGAACCATATGTCTCAAATATATAAGGCAATCACTCAACCGGCTGTGGTCATTCATGAAGAACTATATATATGTGAGTGTAACTTTACAAAACATTAGTTATAAATTCCATATTAATTCTCGTAAAATTATTGGGCAGAATCGAAGTTGGGTCGGATATTTAAATAAGTGCTATAATTTATTCATTATTGACAGGTTATTAAAACCAGACAATAAATTTTACGGAATATTTTCTTGCTGAAAAGTACACAAAGTAATAGTAGTAAAACGTTTGTTTTGGGTATAAAATCATTTTAGTCTCACAAAGAAATCGACAAAACAAGCGATAGGTTGGCTTTTATAACATAAATTCTAAACAATGATTAATATTTCATAGACATCTTCACGTGTGCATTTAATATACACTATGTACTGTTGGTAATCTATGCTGGCGCAATTTACTTAAATAAAAAATGTGCTTGCTGTGTGCTGGGGGAGTTTTGCACACGGTTTGAGTCTATTTGAATAGATAATGTAAAAGTACACACAGCAAGCACAATATCTTGCAGGGTCGTACCTTCCTTTAGGCTGTGCAGACCGCAACCAATACATATTCGAGGAAAATGACAAATGATTTAATTGTCTAACTGCAACGTCTAACAGCTCCCGGAATATATTTATTTCAACTAAATAAACGCTAAAACGCACTTTGAAAAATATTTTTGCAGATTCCACAAATATTTGCTACACATAAATTCAAACCATACTACACCCCTGTCTCGGATGATATTTAAAGTATTATTACATTAAAAAAGACAGAGGGTATTGATAATTATTACCACGAAATATCAATTAAATCAAACGACTTATTTCAAAACCTTGGAGTTCTGTTCACAAGACTAAGAACAATTAATATAGAAATAATGACACTCAAATATTTGAACAATGCGGAAGTATCAAATGTCTATAACGCGTTTTTGATGAACAGGTGAAGATACATCATGGTAAAACACACATAACATATCTTTATTTTAAATGCGGCCTTCTAAAACATTATAAAAATACACACACTAAACAACATCATCAGATTAAGACAGACATGACTGTACTGTATGATTAAAACATTATCAACGCGGCATGATATCGAAAACTGATTATTAACTATGGTCAGGCACTCTGTCATTAAATGAAAAAAAATTAAGGGCAAATAACTAAATTCAAAGATACTGCAAAGAAACGTCAAATGAATTAGTCAACCAGGTCAAACTTTCATTCCGACTATAACAGATGTATAGTTTATTATCTTTTATCTTGAACTTTCAGCAGTTTTATGTCCTTACAAGTCTGTCTGTCTCTGTTTCTGCATCATCACTGCCAGCTTGAAGATAATAAACATTCCTCAAGTTAAACGCCTTTATGCAAACATATCCACACAAAGACACAAGTGAAATCACAAATGTTAAAATTCCGGAAATTGCGTACGCAAAAAACGAAAATTCGTATGATAACTGTCTGTCTTTGTTTTCATGGACGAATTGCATTGCAATAATGCAACAACACAAGTTTAAAATCCCTGAAAATACATTTGTGATATAAATAAGAATAAACTGATATGATAAAAGAGCAACTTATACTTAGAGTTTGATGGAGCAATTGGTAAATTCATAGATGCTTATTTTATGGTATATTGTTTATATTGGTAAATGTTTACGGACGATTCTAGACAATATAAAAATAAAATAGGTTAAAGTAGGCTGTGTCCAAGTATGAATTAGAATAAGGTTATTTCAATGTGAAAGTTGACTGCAGACATACAGGTAAAACATAATACCCTGGTGAGGATTAGTAAGTTGCTGTATAGTAAACTTCTTATAAAACACATAATGGTGCCTGCAAATTGAAATTGAATCTTACCAAAAGGTGTCAGTTCGCTAACCACATTACATTCGATCAATTACGGAATAGTACACAGCACTGGGAACCATTTAGTATGGATATGGAACGCCGTGATTGTCTTATGTTCCATAATTTAGCATTAAAGTAACCGAGAAGTCAGTCCACAAACATTTAACAAACCGTAGTCGGAGGCTGGGGTTCATCTTATATTTGGAACTATATTTGAAGGCACTGTAATGTTTTGAGGTCCGACGAACTATTTCCATATCAAATTTATACCATTTTGCAATTTCTAAAACAAAGTGAGTTCCTTGAGGAAAAAACATATAATTTGAGCGTAACAACATTCAAAGCAAAATGTACTGAAAACTTTTAGCAGTCGGATCGTAAATTTGTGCTGTTTCGTGAAATCTTTTGAACGGCCGGCCATCACTAAACATTATGAATACGTTATCCTGGATATTATATTATTGGCCGACTGACACGGACGGTTGTTAATAATGATGGTAATGATGACGATGATGATTACTATATTACCTGAGATTATATTGAGGGAAGGTAGAATACAAACACAGCAAACTCTACAAGTGTCTATGTCCATTGTTTGACAGCATGTTTTACATCCAACCAGCAACCAGATTAATAAAAGTATGCAGGTAAATGTTATACATACAATTTCTAATGCACACAATGTTACACTAGATACTGAAAGAAAAAGGAAAGATATCTTAACTATCAAGTGAAACACAGGCAAAATACATTTCTACTTTGACTATGCCAAGGTAAAAGAATATCAAAGTCAATGCATTCTTGCAATTCCCCCATGTGGAGAAATTATTTAAATTTGATACAGGCATTGCATTACATATTTGACATGTTCAGCTCCTCTTTATAATCCTTTACAAAGTGGTAGGTATTTATTATCTTCTTGTAATATATGGAAGGAATTAAATGCAGGTACAATGAACTTTTGCTATGTCATGTTGTTACTAAAATAAATTGTAGATATGTTTTTTTACAGGAGAGAGTTTCATATAAGCTCCAAGCTTTCTACTCAATCCTGAATGAAATTTATATATTGTAATATTGTCTGTAAATATTGATGAAGAAATAAATATTGTCTAAACCAATGCATTCTTGAAAGTATTTTTTCTCATCGGTAAATATTTAATAACAATGAGAAACAGAAATACATTTTACTTTTCACTAATCTTTTAACAGTAATATCTGTGACCATTCAACAAAAATACGTTATCATTCAATTATCAAATATTACCCATATCCAGGCAGGGACCATGTGTTGAATTGTCAAAACCATAGTCATTTTGATAGTCACATGCCCATTGGTCAGCAAAAAATCCCGACATTTGGAGAATAAATACAGAAGGTATCAGGATGGATGTAACAGTTGATGGACATATTTTAGAACATCTTTGTCCAAAGCAAACGCATGAGCAAAATCTTTGAACGCTTTGATTCATGTCCGATAAAATTCCTCTGGCTATATACGAATTCATTTTTCTTTTGAAGTCTGTAATAATAATGTTAAAAAAGAAATAGTTATAAAGATTTTTGACAGGTTATATGGCCTTATATAAACGGTTGTTTGGAAATACAATCCGACGGGTCCATTTTATATTGCAAACAAGTTTATATACAGTCATATAACCTGTTAGAAATATTTATTTAGAATTTATAATACAGCAACCAGCATAATTTTAGAGAAAAATGTGAGATTTCTTCATAATTTGACAGCAGCCGTGTATATAAAACTATATAACTATGCGATTATCCAATGAAAAGCGACGTTACAAACTCGCAGTATTATAATGCTCACATGATCTATATGTTAGTCTCTCTGTATAAACTAGAAAATAAAGTTTCCTTTTAAAAGGAAAGGCTTGCTCAGTGTGTCATCATCCCTTCCCTTTAAAATTGTGGGTTTTTTTCTTGTTTCAATTTATTATCACAATTTGTTTTGAATTACGGTATTTGTATATCATTAAGGGTTTATATAGTTTTTTTCTCGAAAAAAAAAGTTTCACTTTTAAAGGGATAGGTAGGGTAAGCCCAAGACTGGACGAGCACCTGTGCCCATTTGTTTGAGCACCAGTGTTATGCGTGCAAATTTGGACCAGATAGGGACCAGAAGTCCACTGATTATAACTGAACGGGAACATGCTGACGATAACAGTAGCAACTTTTTTTGTAAAAATGAATATTTGTTTGTCAAAAACGATTCGAAATCTATTCTCTATTAAAGTAATCAATCGTAAAAATACTAACATTGGCTCTCACGTGGAGATCAATCTATCGCACTGAATGACATTTCTTTTCCACTTATTTCGTAGAGAGAGTCATTCGTTTTGGGCAGTTGCTAATTTCATTTCTATAGCAGCTTTAGACACAAGTGAATGCACTAAAAGACTTCGTTACCGTGGTACCAATTTAATAAGCATGTACAACTATGTACGTTAAGCCTAAAATAGTCATGGACAGGAGATTAGCAGTGGTAAGGGATTAAATGATATGCATGGGCTTATTTTTAGATTACACTATCAGCACAGACGTTTACACCTACTGTCAGTAGCATCCTCTAAATATAACTTGACCATCAGGCACTATTTTTTGATTATTTCTTTTGCGGTGTTATTTTCTGCGTCACGGTTATTTATATTTTGTGGTAAGCAGGACCGCCCTTCTTTGAGATCGGAATAATACGTGACAGTAACCATTCTCGATTTTATAAACACTAATAAATATAAATAGAAACTAACTTTGCGTTTGAAAGAAAGAATTTAGAACGGAATCAGTAAAAAGTAGAGAAAACAAATCTGGATTTCCAAAGTAAAATAAAATAGACTTTTAGATTCCGTAATATTGGGTCGTCAGATTCCGAGTATGAGGAAATGGCCCGATTGCACGATTGCAATCGGAACAACCTCGCTATTAAATAAATTAAAAAACCCAAGAGTTTGTCGGAAAAGGCCGAAAAGTGCGATTGGGACGATTGAACTGGTGTTTCCCGTTCAGATAATGCACTAAAAAAATGTAAGGCAGGAAACCACGTCACCGGAGACAACTTTTCCAAAAACAATAAGTTGCGAAATAAGCATAGAATGACGTGAGCTTAGTTATAAGTGTTCGGTGGCTTTTACGAGAGTGAGTGGTGTGTGGTGCACGGGGTGGAGGGTGGACTTGTATTACGAAGTGTTCGACTACTGATTTGATGCAAATATTCTTATGTTACGTTTATAATTGTAATTAGTAATGACTTGCACAATTCATTTTATTTCTATAAATAACTGTCGGGTTACGTTGAAACGGTTGCAGATTTCCGTGTCTAATTATATTTTCTATTATTTTTTTAGACAAATTCTTTTTTTATATTGTTTTAATAGATATCAGTATGCATATAATATTAAAATAAATTCATCTATAAGATTGATAAGTTACAATATTATTACGTTGATTGTATGAAATTTTTACTAAAACTTTTGTTAAATAATTGTAGCATGAAATTTTAACCGAAGAAGTGGTAAATTTTTGAGTCAAGTCTCGTACAGAGAGAACACTTATATTGAATGAATTACTCTTGTTTATTACAGTAATTTATTAAAATCATTGTGGCAATTCAAAATTTGTTCTGTCAATTTGTATGTGAATTATATGCAAATATGTTCTTTATTACAATAAAAAACGGATTGTCTAAGATACATGAAATATAATACACGTACATTCTTGGTTGTTTTTACCTTCTTCCATCTTGATGGAGCCCGTATACGGAATTGCACCGTTTCAAACAGTCCACAGACATGATTATGATAAGTGCTTGTGCAAGTCTTTACTACATGTTAAATTACATTTAACGGTGACATAGTTTTTTGCAAGAATATGTAATCGAACCGCTATGCACGAAGTGATAATGGTATCACCGATATTAATGTTTCATATTATACGTGAACTGGTGACATTGTTTTTTGCAAGCATCATGTTTCAAGAAAAAATTGATTGTAACATATGTTAATTGGGCAACAAAGTTACATATGAAACAATTAACAAAAATTTGGGATGTCACAGAAGCTATAAGAGCTTTTGAGTGCCTCTCCCAGTAAACGTTGGTAAGCGTATGGAAATTCTGCATGTTAAGAAAAAAAGAGCGATCAGGTGATCACATGTGGTGTCCGTCATGATGGAATCATGTTGGGGAAAGTTTTTGTGACATATCGGACGACCGACCGGAAGTGCACACTATGACTTTTGTGTACTGTTCATCCTGTAAAGTTTGGATGGAAATAACCAAGATCAAGTTTATGAGGAGTGTCGGACAAGCTTATTTGTGTATCTGGCAAACACACGAAAAAACAACTTTTTCAAGAAGGCATTAACTCGGCAAAAATCATTCAACGCGGTAAAGTGCAATATTCGAATGAACTTGCGCTACAGATCAATCCTGTAAAGTTTCATTGAAATTGCATTGGTGGTATTAGAGAAGTAGTCCGGACAAACTTTAAAAATAAAAATTATTAAAGGGCCATAACTCTGACAAAAATCATTGAACCGGAAAATTCTCTCTGTATATATATAGAAGAACTTGTGATGTTGTTACACTATGTATATATATATAGAAGAACTTGTGATGTTGTTACACTATGTATATATATATATAGAAGAACTTGTGATGTTGTTACACTAGGTGAGAGGTAGGTGAGGTATATGGGGGGAAGGGGGAGCTTGAGGTGGTGGTTAAGAGCTATGTGAGATTATATTATTAGAGATGCTGATGTTGTTAACAGGGGGCTAGTGGTAGTGAGGGAGTGGGGGGGGGAGGTAGGGTAGGGGTGAGGAGAGGAGGAGGCTTGGTGCGATGGGGGGTGGGGTGAGTGGAGCGGCGTGGATGTGGTGGGGTTATTTATTTATTCTTATTACGCCATTCAGATTTTTTCGCCTTGTTTTTTGATTGGAATATGATCAACCACGAAAGAAGATTGATATATCGACCTAGATCTGTGGTAATTATATTTCACATTAAATTTCTCCCGTTTTTGGTACTCTAACGTGTAAACAATATGCGCTTGTAGTTGTGATTGCTGCGTACGTTGGGTTTGTACTTTTATGCTGGTGTATAATTCCGATTTAAAAGCACTTTTATAACTGTCAAATGATAAATATTTACAGAAAGTTTGAGTATGAATACAATAACCATGAGTTCGAAAACAAATATGATTGTGAAGCTTGATATTAATTACCAAAAAGTGCGTTCACAGACCTACTCTTTTCTATGTTATTTCGTAAGGTAAGGGAAAAATACGTCATGTATTTATGTGAGTTCATGTGTGACGAAAGAGGTATCCTAAAGGATCTTATATCGACCGTTCCATATTGAAACAGCAATGAATTTTTTAAAAAAAATCGTCTAAACTCGGCAGGGGAAGGGTAATAAAATTATTATTTATGGTTTTGGGAGTGATATATGTGGATATATTATCCTGTCAAGATAAAATATCACCCTGCCTAAACGGCTCGGGTGATATAAACTTAAAAGGTAAGTATTATCCACATATATACTCCAAAACCAAAATTAACATATAATATAGAAGAACTTGTCAGTTGTTACACTATGTATGATATATATAGAAGAACTTTGTCATGTTGTTACCTATGTTAATAGTAGGTGGGTTGAGGGGGGGGGAAGGAAATTGTCAGTGTTGTTACCTATGGTATATTATATATGTGAGATTGTCATTGTTGTTACACACTTATGTATATTTTATATAGAAGAATTGTCATGTTGTTGAGCAACTATGTATAGTTATATATAGAAAAAGGGGGGAACTTTATGCAACCCCAATGGGTTTGTGGGTTTGTACACTATGTATATTATATATATATATGAAGAACTTGCCAGTTTGTTACACTATGTATATATAATAAATAGCAGAACTTGTTCATGTTGTTACACTATGTATAGTATATATACGAAGACTGTGTCATGTTGTTTACACCTTTGTATATATATATAGAAGCAACTTGTGATGTTTGTTAATCTATGTATAATATATATAAGAAGAATTGTGATGGTTTGTTACAAAAGTAATGTTATTAATGTAATAGATAAAAGGAGAACTGTTCCCAATGGTTGTTAAACTATGTATAGTATATATAGCGCAAAAGACTTGTGATAGTTGTACACTATGTTATTTTATATATATAGAAAACTTGTGAAGTGTTACACTATGTAATATATATATATAGGTAGAAGAATGCCATGTTGTAAACTTGTATATATTAGGAAGAACTGCCATGTGTTACACTTATGTATAATGTATATAATAGAGAACTGTATGTTTTACACGTACGGTATATATAGAAGAATTGTCATGTTGTTACATTCTATGTAAGTATATATAGAAAAGAACTGCATGTTTACAACTATGTATATATAATATGTAGAAGAAATTGTCAGTTGTTACACTAGCTATGTATATATATTATAGAAGAATTTTCATGTATGTTACACACTATGTATATATATATAGAAGAACTTGTCATGTTGTTACACTATGTATATATATATATAGAAGAACTTGTCATGTTGTTACACTATGTATATATATATAGAAGAACTTGTCATGTTGTTACACTATGTATATATATATATAGAAGAACTTGTCATGTTGTTACACTATGTATATATATATATAGAAGAACTTGTCATGTTGTTACACTATGTATATATATATAGAAGAACTTGTCATGTTGTTACACTATGTATATATATATATAGGAGAGAACTTGTCATGTTGTGATCATGTATATATATGTAGAAGAACTTGTCATGTTGTTACACTATGTATATTATATATACGAAGAAGTTGTCATGTTGTTACACTATGTATAGTACTATATATAGAAGAAACTTGTATGTTGTAAATTAACGCATGTATATCATATATATAGATAACTTGTAATGGTGTTACTGACCTATGTATATAATATAACATAAGAAAGAAACTATGATCATGTGTTTAACTATGTATATAATAAAGAAGAACTTGGTCATAACGTATGTTACACCTTATATATAATATAGACTTGTCATGATTCGTTACAAGGTCTATGTTTATAACAATATAGAAGAACTTGTATTATGTAGAAGCTACGTATATATAATATTATAACTACAGAAGACACTTGTCATTCTGTTTCACTCATAGTTGTATAATTACTAATAGAGACAATGTTCATGTGTACACCTACTGTAATAATATTATAATGAAGAACTTGCAATCCATATAGATATAATAAACTATGTAGTATATAATATAAGTATCAATTTCATGTTGTGTACACTATGTTTATATATTATATATATAGGAAGAACTTGTCATGGTTTGTTACATCTATGTATATATTATAATTATGAAGACCGTGCCTATGTTTACAGCTATGTTATATATATATGAAGATACTTGCATGTTGTTACACTATGTATATTCTATAGTATAGAAAAATAAGAACTTGCCATTTGTTTACATCTATGTATAATAGTATATTATATAGAAGAACTTGTCATGGTGGTTACACTATGTATATATATAATCATAATATATAAAGAATGCATGTTGTTACACTATGGTATATCGATATAGAAGAATTGGTGGATGGGTTGTTACAGCTATGTATATATAGGATAGAAGAACTTGCATGGTTGTTTACAGTCTATGTATATATATATTATATATTAGTATAATATAGAGAACTTGCCATTTGTTACACTATTAAGTATATTATATAGAGAACTGTGAGAGTTGTTACACTATGTATATATTAATAATATGATAGTTATATATATAATATATATAATTATATATATATTAATTATATTATTAATTATGATATGAAGAACTTGTCATGGTTGTTACACTATGTATAGTATATATATATTAAGTTATTTATATTTTTTATATATGAAGAACTTGCAATGTTGTTACACTATTAGTATTATATTAGAAGAATTGCCATTGTTGTTACACTATGTATAATATATTGAAGAACTTGTCAGTGTCTTGTACACTATGTATATTATATAAGTTAATGAACATTGTCTGTTGTTTACAGCTATGTTATATATATATATATATAGTATAGTAAAGAACTGTCATGTTTGTTACACTGATGTATATATATTATATAGAAGAACTTGTTCATGTTTTAACTCTATGTTTTGATATATAAGAACTTGTCATGTTGTTAACTATGATATTATATCATGAAGAACTCTGTTTCATGTTGTTACACTATTGTATATATATATAGAAGAACTTGTCATGTTGTTACACTATGTATATATATATATAGAAGAACTTGTCATGTTGTTACACTATGTATATATATATATAGAAGAACTTGTCATGTTGTTACACTATGTATATATATATATATAGAAGAACTTGTCATGTTGTTACACTATGATGACAGAGAGGATCACCGATCTCACTTTTGAGTTATCTCCCCTTGAATCAAAATTATTTACTTTCTTGAGGTCATTTCAAGAGCGGATCACTTATACGTACGTCTATAAAATTTTGTTATTACTTCTGGATTAAGTTTTGTTTGCTTTTTATTGTAATACATAATAACATGCAATTAAATATTTCTGTTATAACTCTTCAGTTTGAATAAAGATTATTTGAAAATATTTAAAATAGAAGAAAAAGAAACAATTCGCTCTTTATTCGTTCTTGAATTTTGCATGACTCAGATGGAATAAGCTACCTGAAAACGGGGCGTCCATGGCCGAGTGGTTAAGGTCGTTGACTTCAACCCACTTGCCCCTCACCGCTGTGGGTTCGAATCTCGACAGGGACTTTGGATTATTTCATGTGAGGAAGCTATCCAGCTAGCTTACGGAACGCCGGTGGTTCTACTCAGGTGCCCGTTTGTGCCTGAAATATTGCACGGAAGGGCACCTGAGGTCTTCCTCCACCAGTAAAGCTGGAACGTCGCGATATGACCTATACTGTGTCGATGTGACAAACAAACAAACAAAAGCTACCTGAAAACAAGAAAATAACTTATTGTTTACCTTCATTGTGAATTATCTGCCGTTGAATTAAGCAAAATAAGTCATATTCAGGGGAAAATAAGTCAAAAACGAGAACGGTGATTAATCTTTTTTCTTTACAGATGTTTTCACTTAATATACACATCAAAGCAGTACTGCCCTGCTAAAGCTGTAACATTCAGTCTAATATAATAATAATAATAATAATAATAATAATAATAATAATAATAATAATAATAATAATAATAATAACAATATCATCATCAATATCATCATTATCATTATTGTCATTAAAACTATTAATACATAGTGTTTCAAATAAAACAGGCAAAGTTAAAAAAAACCAATAAAACAATAATACATGTATGGCCTTCTGATTCACAAGTAACAAAGATGAATAGATTATTATATTTATAAAACATTTTTACAATACTTCGAAATGAAAATGCATAGGTAAAATATACTTACTTGCTATGTCAGTGGTATAACTAAAGTATTTCAAACCGTCTATCAAATTTATTATTAATAACCTTATAACATTAAAGAAAATTGCATTATAATATTGATAAATTTGTGCATAATTTCATTAGTTATATTAAAGAAGTTTCCATTTTCTAACAGTGGAAAAATGAGTCATCTTATACATGTTTGAAGTAGTATACATATTGTTGTTATTTGTTTGACAATGGTGATATTTTTAGAATTTAACTTCACCTGATAATGAGACATTGTCACTGAACTTTGAGAATAATATTTTTAACCTTGAATTTTAAATACGTAGTGTTGAATTTTTCACTTTAATCGGGTTCTAAAAGATATTAATAAAAATCAAAAAAAAATAGAGGATTTTAAAATGAGGAAAATTTTAATAATTTATTTTTTGTAGAAAATGAATAAAATCTTTGCAGCCTCTGTTTTTTTTTATCTAGTTAAAAAATTTTTTTAAAAGTACAAAAATCAACCAATATTAATTATACATACCAAAAATAAAAAACGGTTTTTTTACGTTTAAAAGTGACGCCTTCCAGTGTAGAAATGACGGGGCTGGGAATAAACGCGTCGTATTTCAAAATGTAAACAAAGCCCCATCTTGGAACAAAAAAATGTATTTTTTTTGTTTTAATTTTTTTTGTTGGACATGATTAAAAACCAATATATGTTTACACGCACACATTTCCCCGCTTCGTTCGGTATATGGGCTCGACAACTTTTTTGTAAACAAAGTTAAGCGAATTCAACTGAAGCGGGGCAGAATTTTTTATGAAAATGTGGGGATACGACGCAGTTTATTTTATTATCTTTTTTTTCCTTAAAATCGTTATATTTTTGTTTCAGATTCACCATAAACTTGAAAAAATTTTTTGCATATTTACTAGATTTTTCTTAAAAAGAGTTTTTTATTTTTCTAAGAAAAATATTTTTTTTACGAAATGATACGAGGGGGCAGTTGAAAAAAAATGATACCAGCAGTTGTTTTTTTGGCAGTTTTTCAACAGGGATAATTTTGGCAAAAATTTTTTAATGGAATAATATTGCGCTAGATAAAAAAACCCCGGTCCGTGTTCAAAAAGAAAGTCAGGGGAATAGGATCAAGTGCCCGATTTTTTTTTTCATTATATATAAAACAAAATGTTTGTAGCATGCTAAAAAGAATGGTAAAAATTTTCGAAACATAAATTGTTATTTGAAAAGAAAAAACCCTTTTTTTGGGAAAAAAAAAATTCAAAACAAATCAGAAAAAATCTGATCAAAATGAGGTAAATTTTAAGGATAAATAAAAAATTTGGATAAATGAAAAACCCCATTTTGAAAAAATAAAAATATTTTCTTTAAAAATTTTTCATAAACATGCTATTACAGGCCCATTTTTTTAAGTTTTACTAAAAATTAATCTTGGGGAAAATAAGGGAAATTTTCAGTTTTTAAAATTTTTGACCCGATTTGACCCTGATCTTAAATCTTTGTGAACACGGGGAATCATTTGGGGTGTAAGAAAAGTTTGTTGTTTTTGATTATTTGAATACATTGGGTCATGTCAATAAAAATTTAATTTGAAAGTTTACTTTGGGAAGCATTTTAGTTAAACATGAACAGTTCTAATTGATCATAATTTGAAAATTTCTTATTTTCCGTATTTAAATTTTACCCCTTTTTTTTTTTTCGAAAAAAAAATGTAAAAATCTTTTAAAATTAAAATTTATTTTGGCTAGCTCCCCTTAATTTAATTTTGTTCTGCATGTTCGGTAAAGATTTTTTGTGGTTTTTTTTCAAACTTTACTCTACAAAATTACTTTACTAGGGGCGAGGACTCAGGGGCGCCTTTTTGTATTATTTTAGGCAAAAGTTTACCTGCAAGAACATCACATTTTGAAAATACTTGATGGTTTTTAACAAAAAAAATTCATAGCATTCAAATGATTTGAATTCAGTAAACAAACAGCTCGGCCTCGGTCGGACACACCTGTCTGATTTGATTTTACAACAAAATTTGTTACCGTCAGCAGCTTTTTATTAACTTCTGGCGTGAAGTTTTAAAATTATAAATATTTGAATTAATTATAAAGAAAATAACATTGAAATTTCTTATTTCGGTATGACTAGCAGAGAAATTTCCAATGTACACAGGAGGTTATCCTCTGTGAAGGCATTTTCTGAAAAATTTTGTTTAAGTTTTCAGGCATTTCATTATCAAAAGAAAAATCACACTTTTAGTATGAAGGAATGTTAAGGTGCCATGTCTCTAGTCTGTTGAAAATTCGATGCGATAATCTGACCTAAATTTTCTGTTCAATATTGTGAAAACTTCTTCAATACTGTTACATTATTTGCCTATGACAGACCATCTGCTATGCTGTTAAATTTATCGGGTGCACATGCGTGAAATACCTTTGCAAAACGGACACCTTCTTTACAAAATAATTTGTAGTTGTATCATATGTAACTCGATTTGGAAATATTTTTAGTTTTAGTTTTTAGTTTTTTAATGGAGAAGAATGATACTTAAGTGCAAATATAGAAAATACATTCCATCGGCGATAAAGAAATGCAATACGACAAAATCAGCGGTAAAGTTCCGCGGCGCTGAACATAAAATGACTAAACTGAACGCAAAACCTACTTGCAAAAATATATTGTAGCTTAACCATTTATAATATATTTTTAAAAATTTAATGTTTAGTTTTAAAAAATAATAAAGCTCATCTGTTTCTCAAATTATTAAAAGAAAATGAATACAATAAAATCGGCACGTAAAAGACATAAGTAATAAACGGAACTGACGGAAATTATTGCTAAATTACAAGTAAACAAAGGTAGACATGCAATTTGGCGCATATAGCTCTCTTCCGGTAGCAAGAGACCTTTCAAAATTTGTAATTCTTCATTTCTTTTCTTTCTTTTTTAAAAAAGTTCATTCCAAATCCTGATTAATACAGGGTCAGGAGTAGTTACACTGGAATATTGAATTTTGTATCAAAAATAGTAATCACTTCCATTTCGAACTCACAGGAACAATTTTAGAAGCATGCTAAGGCAACACTGGAACACGTTGTCATATGGGTGTGCGATCACGTGTTTCAATGTATGTTGCATTTGATTACAACTTTTCTGAATTGTAGATGCTTATGATAGGTACTAAAATGCAACCGAAAAAATGCAGCCTTAATAGAATTGTATTACATTTCCATTTTTATGGAACCAATAAGTGACCTCTGCTTTTTGAACTTAAGTTTGTAACAAGAAATGTTTGTTGGACGTTATTAGCATACCTAGCACATAATTTAAAAAGTTTAACCAATATGTAGCCTGCAATGAAAATACAACTGCGTCGTATCATATTTTATTTCCAACTGCGTCGTATCATTTCGTAAAAATCATTATCTTGGAAAATAAACATCTCTTTTTAATGAAAGTTTAGTAAATGATGCAAAATTATGTTTTTAAGTTTATGGTGAACTACAAAACGAGTATATAATTAATTTGAAGGAAAAAACGATAGATAAAGCAATATGAACTGCGTCGTATCCACACAATTTCATAAAAATTCTGCCCCGCTTCGAGTTGCAAGTTCGCTATAACTTTTGTTTTACAAAAAAGTTGTGCAAGCCACATATACCGCACGAAGCGGAAAATAGTGTAGCGTGTTAATACATACATCTGGTTATCAGTCATTTCCAACAAAAAGAGTTATAAACAAAAACATACATTTTTCGTTCCAAGATGGCGGCGTTTGTTTACATTTTGTAGGATACGACGCAGTTTTGATTCCCAGCCCTGAAATGATGTCACGTGAAAGTGTTCTTACACCAGTGTAATATATAGAGGATATTGAATGAGTGTAGTTTAATACTAAATCTATTGAACGAGTTGAATAAAATCATATTATGCGAGCCTCTGGCGAGCATAATATTGTTATATTAAACGAGTTCAATAAATTCAGTATTGAATCTACGCGAATATAATATTCTTTTTATCACATATATAGAGGATATTGAATGAGTGAAGGTTAAATACTGAATTTAATGAACTCGTTGAATAAGATAAAATTTTGCTCGCCTCTGAACTCGTTGAATAAAATTATATTATGCGAGCATCTGGCCTCTGGATCATTATATGTTCAGCCTAAGATTAAAAAAGAAAACACAAAAGGTAAAGCCTAATATTGAAAACAAGTTATCAATGATTGCGATGTTACTTTTGACAGGGCTCGGAATCAGAACTGCGTATAATGAAGTTTTGTGGATACGACGCAGTTTATTGTTTTCCCTTCAAATCAATTATGTACTCGTTTTAGAGTTTACAATAAACTTCAAAATTTCATTAAAAAAGAATGTTTGTTTTTCAAAAAAAAAAATGATTTGTATGAAATGATACGACACAGTTGAAAATAAAATATAATACGACGCAGTTGTATTTTTGGCAGATAATTTTGGCACTATGAATCTATTTTACCGAATAATCACCTGCGCTTATTATGCTAGTAAGGTAAAACAGTTTGCACATTGTGGCGCCGTTATATGTCGCAACACCGCTAAATGTCGCATTTACCGCTAAATGTCGCACCATTGCCGCTAAATGTCGCAACCGCCGCTAAATGTCGCAAAATCATTTGCCGTTAAATGTCGCAATGTTAACGTTAAATGTCGCACGGATTTCCCCTACCGTTAAATGTCGCAACACTATCGTTAAATGTCGCAGATGTTGAACTCGAGTTTTATATAAATCAGCGGATCTGTGGATTTTACAAATACAGCGAGTGTTTGTATTCTTACGCATTTTACAAAACTTTTTCTTACCCATACTATGTTGTTATTGTGGTGGTCGTGTTGGCGGCGGTGGCAGCGGCGGCGGCGGCGAAATAAAAACGCTTTTAAGGCAAAACTTAGAAAAAATTAAAATTACCTCTTATTGAAAAGGCAGAAACTGGATTTTTTTTGGTTGAAAATATGGAAAAAATATTACTAAAAAACATTACAAAAGGAAAAACTTAGATATTTCAGACGTATGTATATAAGTTTAACCTGCCCCTGAGATTACCCCAAATAAGTGGCTTGTCCGGCTATAGACTACACGTGAAAATCAAATAAAAAACAATTAAAAAAGACATAGAATTCTATACCTACCGATGAAATTTTCAGTGTTAGTTCTAGCTAGGC